CATGTTGGCTGGGGGATTCTGGGAGTCAAAGTCCACCCATTTTAAAGCATGCTGGCTGGGGAATTCTGGGAGTCGAAGTCCACCCATCTTAAAACATGCTGGCTGGGGAATTCTGGGAGTCAAAGTTCACATAGCTTAAAATTAGCAGGGTTGATTCTATACTATTGACCTGAGCAATTTAAGATTTGCTTGAATCTGCGATGCTCTGCGTTTTGTTCTTGATTGTTATGAATGCATTATACTTTAGCTTTTAAAATCTTTTCTAATGTGTGGTTTTTAGAAAGACTGTACCAATGTCGGTATTATTAACACCAATTATTTTTTCACTGGTTTTCTAACCATGAGGTGGAGGATTTCAAAGCAATCCTTGAAAACGGGTTGCTGGATTTCATATTTGAAAGAGAAATTTTGGTTAGAAAGGGTATAAGTAAGCCCTGGTTAATAAACAGTATTCCTGCAGTTTGATCTTTTTGCCACGGTTTAATTTCTCTGGGCATAGAAAGATGAATTTTGATATCTGGGTGGGTTCTGACCTCTGCTGGCAAATTTTCCAATATGAACTCAATACAGAACTGAGGACTCGTTTTGAAGGGGAAATCCAAGGCAAGTGTTATGAGGAGTCCTCAATTTACGTCCACATTTGGGACCAGAATTTCTGTTGCTAAGTTACGTCCAATTTTACAACCTCCTTTCGTCATGTTTGTTAAGCGAATCACTGAATGACATGGTCGTTAAATGGCTTCCCCCCATAAACTTTGCTTATCCAAAGCCGTCTGGGAAGATCGCAAATGGCGATCACGTGACCCTGGGACGCTGCAACCGTTGTAAATAGAGGCTGGTTGCCAACGCTGCAATGGTCATAAGTGAGAGGACCATTTTGGGAGTCAAATTCCCCTGGCTGGGGAATTCTGGGAGATCCACCCTGGTTGGGGAATTCTGGGAGATGAAGTCCATCCTGGCTGGGGAATTCTGGGAGATGAGATCCATCCTGGCTGGGGAATTCTGGGAGTCGAAGTCCATTCTGTCTGGGGAATTCTGGGAGATGAAGTCCACCCTGTCTGGGGAATTCTGGGAGTCGAATCCATTCTGTCTAGGGAATTCTGGGAGTCGAAATCCATTCTGGCTGGGGAATTCTGGGAGATGAAGTCCACCCTGGCTGGGGAATTCTGGGAGATGAAGTCCACCCTGGCTGAGGAATTCTGGAGATGAAATCCACCCTGGCTGGGTAATTCTGGGAGTCGAATCCATTCTGGCTGGGGAATTCTGGGAGATGAAGTCCACCCTGGCTGGGGAATTCTGGGAGATGAAGTCCACCCTGGCTGGGGAATTCTAGGAGATGAAGTCCACCCTGGCTGAGGAATTCTGGAGATGAAATCCATCCTGGCTGGGGAATTCTGGGAGTCGAATCCATTCTGTCTGGGGAATTCTGGGAGATGAAGTCCACCCTGGCTGGGGAATTCTGGAAGTCAAAGTCCACTCTGGAGAATTCTGGGAGTCGAAATCCATTCTGGCTGGGGAATTCTGGGAGATGAAGTCCACCCTGGCTGGGGAATTCTGGGAGTCAAAGTCCACTCTGGAGAATTCTGGGAGTCGAAATCCATTCTGGCTGGGGAATTCTGGGAGATGAAGTCCACGCTGGCTGGTGAATTCTGGAAGTCGAAGTCCATTCTGTCTGGGGAATTGTGGGAGTCGAAGTCCACCCTGGCTGGGGAATTCTGGGAGTCGAATCCATTCTGGCTGGGGAATTCAGGGAGATGAAGTCCACCCTGGCTGGGGAATTCTGGGAGTTGAATCCATTCTGTCTGGAGAATTCTGGGAGTCGAAATCCATTCTGGCTGGGGAATTCTGGGAGATGAAGTCCACCCTGGCTGGGGAATTCTGGGAGTCAAAGTCCACTCTGGAGAATTCTGGGAGTCGAAATCCATTCTGGCTGGGGAATTCTGGGAGATGAAGTCCACCCTGGCTGGGGAATTCTGGGAGTCGAAATCCATTCTGGCTGGCGAATTCTGGGAGATGAAGTCCACGCTGGCTGGTGAATTCTGGAAGTCGAAGTCCATTCTGGCTGGGGAATTGTGGGAGTCGAAGTCCACCCTGGCTGGGGAATTCTGGGAGTCGAATCCATTCTGGCTGGGGAATTCAGGGAGATGAAGTCCACCCTGGCTGGGGAATTCTGGGAGTCGAATCCATTCTGTCTGGAGAATTCTGGGAGTCGAAATCCATTCTGGCTGGGTGATTCTGGGAGATGAAGTCCACCCTGGCTGGGGACTTCTGGGAGTCGTGCATTCTGGCAACTGGAGTCCACTCATCTTTAAGCATTCTGGCTGGGGAATGCTGGGAGTCGAAGTCCAGCCTGGCTGGGGAATTCGAGGAGCCGAGGTGGCGCAGCAGTTAGAGTGCAGTACTGCAGGCCACTTTAACTGACTGTGTTCAGCAGGTCAGCGGTTCAAATCTCACCAGCTCAAGGTTGACTCAGCCTTCCATCCTTCCGGGGTAGGTAAAATGAGGACCCAGATTGTTGGGGGCAATGTAAATATATATATATACATTGCTTACTGGTGTACACCGCTTAGAGAGTGCCTGCACTTAAAGCGGTATATAAGTCTCATAAATAAATAAATAAATTCTGTGATACCTCAAAAAGGGCTATACTTTGAGGCGACTTTTTTCTTTATTTCATTCAGTGGGATCCACAGCCCAGAAAAGCAAGAAAACAACCCTGCAGGATTTCTATTGAGGGGAGGGTTGAAATTAACTTAAATCAAGAGGTTATAAGGAGGACTTTTATGCTTGGAGAAACGTACAGTGAGAAAAGGAAGAAGAACCCAGGAATGTTGCAGAAATAAGACAGAAATCCGTTTTGCAGAACAGGAATATCCAAACTATTTAATATGGAGGAAAAATAAAAAGATAGCAAGTACTAGGGTTTCCGTAGTGTAGCGGTTATCACGTTCGCCTCACACGCGAAAGGTCCCCGGTTCAATCCCGGGCGGAAACATTTTTTTTTATTATTTCACCATACATATATATATATTTGCATTCAATTTGCAATTCAGAATAGCACGCGAGTTAAGAGTTTCCAGGTTTCTTTTCCTCCCCTTTTTAAAATCAGTGGTTCACTTTAATCGAGTCAGCATCGCTCTTGCAGGGTGCAAAGCCATCTTAGCAACAAAAATTAAAATTACAGGGTTTTGCAGGGAATTGGGGGAGAGCAAGAACGGGGAAGGGAATAGAAATGGAAATGTACACGATACAGCGCCTGCAAAGGGAAAAATCGACAGTGTATTTGAATTTAGGTGCTTGATGGCTAATCAAGGGGTATAATTTTTAGTAAATAAAAGCAAAGTTGTACTATGAATAAATAATAAAAACGAACTTGCGTTGGCCGGGAATCGAACCCGGGTCAACTGCTTGGAAGGCAGCTATGCTAACCACTATACCACCAACGCCACTACGAAACCCGATATTAGTTCTAGTCCTATTCTCACCGTCCCTCAATACGGGCCATACCATTTCTGAGCCCGAATACGAATATTATTTTTCTCACATTTAACTGCCGTCCATCCAAAATATTTAAAAAATGCCCTGCAGGAAACAAGAGAGAAATGGCTATTTGTCTGGGTCGGTTTTATTTTCCTTTCCTGGAAGACACAATTTCCCCTTTTAGTAAATGGTTTCTTCCACCTCAGGTGCCAGGCCCCACCCCACTGGTTACCTCGGCAACGTCGACCCGCTGTCATGGCAACGTGGCCCAGGGCCGCCACTCCCCTCTTTCGGGAATCGTTCCGTCCAAAGCAAATGTAGACCTTTGTTTTATTTTCCTTTTACCTAAAACTGTAATGTCGTTTATAGGCTTTCCGTGTTCACTGGTCGGGAGTTAGTGATGGTACGGCAGATACGGAGCGTGAAAAGACAAACAGTGACACAATTCTGTCATTCTCAAACGGGTTTTTATTTCCTCGCACCTTCCAATATTTTCTCTCAGACACGCTATTCTCCCCCCCAATTTTACCGAATGGTTCCTTCCAAGATTTCCCCCCTTCGTATTTTGAATGAAATGGTCCCGCCCGTCAAGCTCCGGACGGGGATTCCGCGCCTTTTCCCTAAGTCTCGCGAGATCATGCCTCACCGGAGTTTTTAATGCTCCACCCCTCTCGCGAGAACTGGAAGAATCCCTCCCCCTCAATCCCCCCCACCTTTCCCGTCCTTCTCGCGCGATGACGCAGCGTCCCGAGGAGGCCGACACCGCTTCCGTTTCCGGGCGAAAGGTCGCGGTGGGAGGCTCGAAGAGGCGGGCGGTTTCCCTTCCCCCCCTCCTCCCCCGTTTCCGGGACCTCCTGAGTCCACAGGAAGGGAAATGGAGCGGGAGTGACGCCGCCGCGGGACCTCCCGACCCCTCCCTCCCCCCTTTTCCCCACAGCGGAAAAACCTCGGCCTGGGGGAGGCCGTCGAGCCACGTCGTGAGTGCGGGGCTGGCGGGAGGGGGGAGGCCCCGCCCTGAGACAGAATGAGAGAGCGAGAGAGAGAGCGCGAGCAATGCCGGACCACGCCCCTTTCGGCGGCCGCCCTTGCGGAGGGCTCCCAACGGCCGCGGCGAGGCTCGTGCAGGGGGAGTGGGCGGGGCTTGTGGCCACGCCCTTCGCGGGAGGGAGAGGCCACGCCATCTTGCGGCCGCCCTCCAGGGAGCGTGGCCACGCCCCTCGGACCCTGGACTCACGTGATGCGCGCGCCGGGGCTGGAGAGGAGGCGAGCCCGGGCAGCGTCTTGGGGTCCAGGCGGGGATGGGGAGCGGCGGAGCCGGCCTGGCCTGGGATTGCCCTCACTTGCCCTGGGCTGGAGCTGCAGCGTGAGAAGGGGTAGCGAGGGATTCATTGATGGATTCTCCTTTGGCTCAACAGCTGGACAGCTTTCAGATGGGGAGGGGACTGCAACTCCCAGAATTCCCCAGGCAACAAAGCTGCCTGTGGAATTCTGGGAGTTGCAGTCCCCAGCTGCCCGGGGGAAGAAACACAATTCTAGAGGCAACCTTTAGCTCTGGGTGGAACATGGATGCTTCTAGGGAGGTGACCTGAGCAAAAAGGGGAGACGATGCACCCTGGAATGGAATCGGTCTTCCTGGACTGCCTCTTTCTCTAGGCAGGCCGTGGCTTTTCATTGGCAGCCATCAGGCACTGCAGCTCCTTTCCTTTCCTGGAGCTTTGCTTGCCTCCCCTCTTTTACTGGCTGGAGTTCCACTAGATGCACATAAAATGGGAAGGGGGAGTGCATGGAGATTATTTTGGGGTGTGTAATAGAAACCTGGCTGAGATCTTCCTATGTTGCATTTTATCGTCTTTATTGTATGGCAAGCATGGTGCAGGAATGCGTAGAGGAGAAGGGTGGAATTGTGGGGTCCTGTGTGGATCTTTGAGCTGGGTGGTTTTCTTGCAGACGTTTTGTGACCCATCTAGGTAGCGTCATCAGTGCTAGAAGGGAATGTGAGGTTGGCAGAGAGGAGGAGAAGGACTATGGGGTCCTGGGTGTTTGCTTGCAGATGTTTCACCACCCACCTAGGTAATATCATCACCAAGAAGGTCGCAGTTGTATGGATCAGGCTGCGGTCATGGGAAGCAGTAAATAATAATTTATTTTTAGGTTTGTCGTTTGTTATGTGAGCCCAGCAATTATATTGGATTAAGCTGGGCTGGACATGGTGTGTGAATCCAAGCCAGAGGGCAAGTTTTGTAAATTAAGGTGAGAGTCAGGTCTGCAGCGTTGCCAGACCCTTAGTTATAGGAGGCCTGTCTGGCTAAATTTGAATTAAAACGTGTTACCCAACCAGGGATAGAAAAGGTCAGGCCAATACAAGAGAATATTACTCAGGGTTGAACTGTGAAGTCCTTGGTGCTCTCTGAGATTTGGGGGGGGGGGTTTGCAGACATTTAAACCAAAAACTCCAGCCCTGTTATATTAACATTCATTTATTAAAGCAAAGCTTGGCTTGATCTGTGGGGTGGTTGATGCTCTGCAAAAAAAAAAAAAAAAACCCAAACTCAGAGCATCAACAACCCCAGAGATCAGGCCAATCTTGATTTTGATATATGAACGTTAATGTTAATAGGCCTGGGATTCCTGAGGCATGTCAATTCTAAAAGTTTTAAACCTTATCATCCTATTGCAGCCTCAACGTGAAATTTGGAATGTGATCCACTTGTGCTTTTTTTTTTTTAATTTAGCAGGTGGATAATTATACAGGAATGGACACTTTTGTTCTATCGTAAGAAAATGAAAAAAAAAAAGATAGGTCCTCTAATACACATTTCCCTTTGAAGACTCTCCAGGCAGTTCTTAACGATTGCTGGCAGATTCCACAGTTAATGTGGAGAAATTCTCCACTTCAGTCCTTGGCACTGCCCTCTAATGCTTGGGGAAAATACTTTGATCAGATGTTTAAAAGGCATTCCATAGTGCAGTATTCTAACCTGCCATACAAAATACTTTATGGGCCAAGGGTTGTCCTTCAGAGTATGCTGGGATGGAGTAAGACCCAAACGTAAAATGGATTTAAATGAATTGCACGCAGCTTCTGGAATGACTCTCCTTCTGTTTAGTATTTTTCCTTTAAGGTTGCCTTTAAAATTACAATAATGGGAGGTTGGATATTGCCTAAGGCTTTGGGGGTGGGTGGGTGGGTGGGTGGACTATGAGTTGGGCACTCCTAACACGAGTTATTTTGATTCAGGTTTTTATGGGTGAAGTAAAATGCCTTTTAGCTAAACTGCTTAATTAGTGGCCTCTCTTATGCTCTGGTGTTTTGTTTTGTTTTTCCTCTTTTTCCTCCACACAGTTTCTTATCCTGTCTAAGGCTCGCTTAGCAGTTGATGCAGAAAATAAAGAGGGCTCGGCTGGAAAACGAAAGCACAGGAAGTTGGGGAAGGTACGTTTCCCAGGAGGCCCGAGGAAGCAGGAGTTGTCCATTGGTGCAACGTAAGAACAGGCAGAGCTACAGCTTATAACGACGGTTAAATGTTGCTTGTCATAATATTTACCTTTGGCCTTCGATGGGAAAAAAGCTGGCATTTTGCTCTCCAGTTAGACAGCTCGCTAAATATTTGCCCAGGTAATTTTGAAGCCCTGGTATTTTGAGAGTGGGTGCTTCCATAGAATTATAAGTCGGAAAGGATCTGGAGGTCTTCTAGCCCAGCCCTCTCTGCCCAGGGCAAAAGTCTTTATACCACCTGGACAGGGGTAGGCAACCTTGGTTCTTTTATGACTCGTGGACTTCAACTCCCAGAATTCCTGAGCCAGCCATGCTGAGGGGACAGGGAGAGGTTTCCAAGCTGAGCCATGCTGGCTCAGGAATTCTGGGAGTTGAAGTCCACGAGTCATAAAAGAGGCAAGGTTGACTAGCCCTGACCCATACCATCTCAGACAAGTGACTGTCTAGCCCAGGGGTAGGCAACCTTGGCTCTTTTATGCCTCGTGGACTTCAGCTCCCAGAATTCCTGAGCCAGCATGGCTCAGCTTGGAAACCTTTCCCTTTCCCCTCAGCATGGATGGCTCAGGAATTCTGGGAGTTGAAGTCCACGAGTCATAAAAGGGCCTAGTTTGAAGACCCCTGCTCTAAAGGTACAAACCAGTAGTTCCACCGGATGTAGAGTTGGTCTAGTGCAGGGGTGGGGAACCTTGGCTCTTTTATGACTCGTGGACTTCAACTCCCAGAATTCCTGAGCCAGCCATGCTGAGGGGAAAGGGAGAGGTTTCCAAGCTGAGCCATGCTGGCTCAGGAATTCTGGGAGTTGAAGTCCACGGGTCATAAAAGAGCCGAGGTTCCCCACCCCTGCTACAGACTAACTCTACATCCGCTGGAACTACTGATTTGTACCTTTAGAGCAGGTCTAGGGAGCCTTGGCCCGTTCATGACTCGTGGACTTCAACTCCCAGATTTCCTGAGCCAGCATGGCTCAGCTTGGAAACCTTTCCCTTTCCCCTCAGCATGGCTGGCTCAGGAATTCTGGGAGTTGAAGTCCACGAGTCATAAAAGAGCCAAGATTGCCTACCCCTAACCTGGGACAAATATTCCACTATTTTCATGAAAACATCCAGCAACGGAGTATCCACAACTCCAGGAGGCTTGTTCTACTGTTTAATATTTCTCCCTGTGGGGTCCTTGGTGCGCTCTGCGTTTGGTTGTTTTCTTGCAGACTTCTCATTACCCAGCTAGGTAACATCATCAGTGCTAGAAAGGAGTGGAGGAGGAGGCTGGTTGTGGGGACCTTGATGTTTTCTGAGCTTGGTTGTTTATTTTTTAATCTAGTCCTTTGTTTATATGCATCTCAACCCAAGACAAAATTATATGTGTGCTTTGGAAAATGTTTGCTGTTTTGTCCCCGTCCCCCCCCCCCGTTATCACCTAAGCAGGGGACGATGACTTAGTTTTTGTATGTGTGGTGAGGTTTGACAGTGAAAACGAGGAAGGCAGTTTGCCATATTCAATCAGCAGAGGTTAGATCATTTTATGACTCTCTTTCCCTTGAACTGACCTTCAAAGTATAAGTCTGCTTAGCCTTAAAATAAGAGATGGCTTCCTCCATGGGAGTCCTTTTCCTTTGCTTTTTAATTTGTGTTACATTTCCTCATCGTTATAGGCTGTGCAATTTGGGCCCACTTTTTTAATGTGGACGTTTTGTCTTTAAAAAAGAAAAACTCAGCAAAACAAAACCCAACAAAACAAAGATTCTTGTTATCAGACATTTCTTACAGAGCTGTCGAGGCTTTTTTATTAAAAAAAATATATATATATCATTAAGTTTTGGAGGTGTTCAAATCAAGCTGGCATTCCCTGGAACCTGGTACAAAAAAAAAAAAAAAAACATAGAGCCAGGTAGAACAGACTAAAAATGTCGTTGTCATTTTAAATTTATACTAATCAACATACATTAAAATGAAACTGCATTGCATTCTGCTCTCAAAAAACAACAACAACCCCATTATGCATATAGCCACACCCTTATATGACACGGAGAAACATCACAGTCTAGTTTGAGTGTGTGTGTGTGTGTGTGTGTGTGTATGCACACATACACGAGGGGGAAAAAAGAATCTATAGATAGATTTTATAGCTCTCCATGAATATTACCTTTGAACTGAAGATTTGAGTTTATTTTTTTTAAGTCCATTTCCTCTCCCGCCTTTGATATCTCATTTTATTGTGAGTTGGATGTACCTTTTTTAGAAGATAGAATCATAGGGCTGAAAGGGACGTTGGAGATCTTCTAGTCCAGGGGTGTCAAACTGCCGGCCCGCAGGCCAGTTTCATCATACTGGAGTCATGCCCACCCCATTGCCAGCAATGGCAAAAAAAGCTCCCATACGTTGTGCGACGTTGCAAGTTTGACATGTCTGTTCTAGTCGAACCTAGTGCTCAAGGCAGGACACTTTAAACCAGGGGTGTCAAACTCAATTTCATTGAGGATCGCATCAGCATTGTGGTTGCCCTGGGGGGGCGGTGGCCAGGGTGGGTGCGGCCTACTGGGTGGGTGTGGATGGAGTGGGTGTGGCCTACTGGGTGGGCATGGCCAGCTCTACATCGTTCGCGTCCAGGGTGCCTGTGGGGGCCTGGGCAGGAGTGGGACAGATCTGAGGGTCTCTGGCAGAAGGGGGTGGGACCGGGGCAAGCGCCAAGGCACGGTCCATTTCTTCACTCCTCACAAAGGGTGACACCTCCCCAGCATGCACCCAGAAATGTTCTGACGTTGAGGACAATTAACCAGTGGAACGACTTACCACCAGAAGTTATGAGTGCTCCAACTTAAGTTTTTAAGAAAAGACTGGACAGCCACTTGTCCGAAATAGTATAGAGTTTCCTGCCTGAGCAGGGGGTTGAACTAGATGACCTCCAAGGTCCCTTCCAACTTTATTATTGTTGTTGTTGATCATCACACAGTCAGCCAGATGTTCAGATTGGATTTGGCATTTTTGTCTACCTATCGAGTCCTTCCCAAGGACCTGGGATAGGCAGATGTGGATGTTTGATGGTGTTATAAATATCGTTGCAGGATGGAAGCGGATCCTAGCAAGGCCGCCTTTTGCAATTGACTAATGGCCAATTTGTCATTACTACTACTACTACTACTACACATGCCTTAACTTCCTCATCATATGATTTGGCCTCCAGTCCCTCTATCAACTTTATTGCTCTTCTCCGCACCTCTTTCAGTGTTTCAGCATCGTTTGGGTATCGTCGATTCACTTCCATTCTGAATGACAGCCCTAAGGGATCCTTCATAGCTGGGCAATTGCCGTATCCCTCGGCATGGGAGTGCACAAATAATGGGGGGGGGGAAATCCCCCCATCTTATTTGGCCTTGAGACACAGACGCACAGTCATGGTGTGATTGGCTGCAGAAGGTTGCATCAGAATTTATTTGGATGTTTTTCTCAAGAGGAGAGATAGGCCAAATCAGTCCGAGATCGGTTTTTGCACAGTTGTTTGTTAGGATGATTGTTGTTTTTTAAGACCTTTTTCAGATGGGGTCCTTGGTGCTGTCTTAACTCGGTTGTTTTCACGTTGACGCTTCATTGCCCAAACTGGACAACAACTTGAGCTGTGAGTTCTGGGGAGGCTTCGGAGATGTTTCCTTGAGTTTCCCAAGCAATACTCAAAAGGTGTCTTCTCAGCTGCCTTGATGACCCTTGCTGGAGAGTGGGCGCAGCTTTTCTTACCCAAAATGGAAAGTGCTTTCCCCCCCCTGTCTTTGGAACATTCCTCGGAATTCTTTTGGATGTTCTGGAAAAGTCAAAAGTTGGAGGTGGATGGGTGAGACCAGGGCTTTTCAACCTTTTCAGCCATTGTACCACTTTTAGGATATGGCAACATCCGAGTACCACCAGTCGCCTAGCAAGGTGTCAAAAAAGTGATGACCCCCCCCCAAAAAGGAAAAAAGTGATAAATTACAGGTAGTCCTCGACTTACAACAGTTCGCTTAGTGACTGTTCGAAGTTACAATGGCACTGAAAAAAGTGGCCCCCAAGCCACAGCCGAGCAAGACACCTGCCTGCCCACCCGGTGGCGCTCTTCCTCCTGTCCGAGGTTTTCATTGTTGTGAGCATTTCTGTTGAGGATTGGCAGCGGGGGTGAGGTGGGGGTGTTTGGTTTTTATTCCCCCCCGTCTGCTGGGTGGTTGCAGCAGGTTTTGGTCACTTCACATGACCCCGGGACACTGTGACCGTCATAAATATGAATCAGTTGCCAAGCATCTGAATGTAAATCACAAGACCCTGGAGATGCTGCAACATTCCAGCTGATTGGCGCTTCTTCTGGGGTCAGCAGAAGCGCCAGGATCAGTGCTGCTTTCCAGCTGATTGGTGCTTCTTCTGGGCTCAGCAGAAGTGCCAGGATCAGCGCTGAGCTCCAGCTGGAGCTTGGCACTGATCCCGGCGCTTCTGCTGAGCCCTGACAGCCCTGCAGCTGCAGCCAGCCGTCTCTCGCTCAGGCTTGTGCAGTGCTGCCACCGGTTCAGCTCATTCCCTTCCCCCGCTACCACTTTTCTAGGATGGTCGTGTACCACCTGCCAGGTGCCAATGGACCACAGGTGGTACCCGTACCACTGGTTGAAAAGCCCTGGGTTAGACCACCTCAGGCCCGTCTCCACTCAGACTAGTTCCATTGAGTGCATCCACTTCCTTTAAGCTGTTGCCTTCGGGTAGTGTGGCAACATTTAACCAGTCCTCGACTTACAAAGAGGGCTGGTGACCTTATGGGGGTGGAAAACACTATTTTCTTGACGTATTTTAGCATTTAGGATTTTATACTTCGTATAAACCTATCTCCGCGAGGCACAAGGCTTGCATTTCTCCACAGCAACCGTTAACGTTAAGGCTTCGTTGAGCAATGCTTTGATTGATTGATTGATTTTAGGCTGCCCTTGTTTTCATCATAGAATAGAGTAGAATAGAGTAGAGCTTGAAGGGACCTTGGAGGTCTTCTAGTCCAGCCCCCTGCTCAAGCAGGAGAATCTATATTGTCTCAAACCCAACTCCCACAGCCGTTCTGCATAGGTTTTAGTCTCCAGGCCTTGGGTCATCTTAGTTGCTCTTCTCTGAATTTTTTTTTCCAAACTCTCAACATCTTTTTTGTGATACTGTGACCAAAATTGGCTGCAGTATTCCAGGTGTGATCTCACTAGGGCTTTATAAAGCGGTAATAGTACTTTGCAGGATGTTGATTTTCATTCTGGTTAACTGTTCAAGTTTTAGTTTTATGCAGTTATGAACTGGGTTAAATGGGTTAGTGGTGGGTAATTAGAATGCAAACATCGTTAATAAATACATCACGGTGGCCCTTCTGACCCAAAGGAGTCATTTGAATTCTCTTCTTTCTTAGGACTGGTCTTGCAGAGTTGTGGGTTTGTATGTTTGTTTGTTTAAATTTGTGCAGCTGAGGTAGAATATCTGTTCCTATATGTAACGCTGCAGTTGTGATATGCAGGAAGCCCTCAACTTAACAACCATTCTTTTAGTGACCGTTTAAAGTTGCAAGGGCACTCAGCATTCCTGGGTTGTTTAATGATCGTAGCATTTGCTGCAAGGGAAAGGTAATAAAATAGGGCCAATTGTGGGATGACCCACTTTAAAACTGCTGCCTAATGAGCAGCCTCCATTACAGTTATAAGCCGAGGACTACCTGCATTGCCAATGGGGTGCAGTCAAGGAGCAGCAGCCTTGTTCTGCCCTAAATCCCAAAGAGGTAATCAATCAGAATAGAGCTGGAAGGAACCTTGGAGGTCTTCTAGTCCAACCCCCTGCTCAGGCAGGAACCCTACACCATTTCAGACTAATGGCTGTCCAGTCTCTTCTTAAAAACTTCCAGTGTTGGCGCATTCACCGCTTCTGGAGGCAGGTTGTTCCACTGGTTAATTTTTCTCACTGTCAGGATGTTTCTCCTTAGTTCTAGGTTGCTTCTCTCCTTGATCAGTTTCCATCCGTTGCTTCTTGTCGTGCCTTCAGGTGCTTTGGAGAATAGCTTGACTCCCTCTTCTTTGGGGCAGCCCCTGAAATATTGGAATGCTGCTGTCATGTCCCCCCTCGTCCTTCTCTTTGTTAAACTAGACATACCCAATTCCAGCAACTGTTCCTTATATATTTTACCATGCCTCCAGTCCCCTAATCATCTTTGTTGCTCTTCTCTGCACTCTTTCTAGAGTCTCAGCATCTTTTTTACATTGTGGTGACCAAAACTGGATGCAGTATTCCAAGTGTGGCCTTACCAAGGCATTGTAAAGTAGTATTAATACTTCACGTGATCTTGATTCTCTCCCTCTGTTAATGCAGCCCAGCATTGTGTTGGCTTTTTTGGCAGCTGCAGCACACGGCTGGCTCATATTTAAATGATTGTCCACTAGGACTCCGAGATCCCTCTCACAGTTACTACTATTGAGCAAGGTATCCCCTATACCAGTGGTTCTCAACCTGTGGGTCGGGACCCCATTTGGGGTCAAATGACCATTTCACGGGGGTCGCCAAACCATGCTGTCCGCCATTTTTTTCCCTTTTCCCTAGCTGTCCTACTCCCTCTTATTGGTGGCCACACCCACTTAGGGGTCACCACAACATGGGGAACTGTATTATGGGGTCACGGCATTAGAAAGGTTGAGAACCACTGCCCTATACTATACCTGTACATTTGGTTTTTCTTGCCTAAATGTAGAACCTGACTTTTTTCACCACTGAATTTCATTTTGTTAGATAGCGCCCAGTGTTCAAGTCTGTCCAGGTCCTCCTGTATCCTAAGCCTGTCTTCTGGAGTGTTGGCTATTCCTGCCAACTTGGTGTCATCCACAAATTTGATGAGTTCCCCATCTATCCCCTTGTCCAAATCGTTGATGAAGATGTTGACAACATCAACATAAGAGCACTGGGCCCAGAACAGAGCCCGGGGTCACCCCACTACACACTTCCCTCCATGTAGATGCGGTTCCATTGAGGACCACATGCTGAGTACGGCTGGTCAGCCAGCTACGAATCCATCTGGTGGTGATGCTGTCTAACCCACATTTTTCTATCTTTATCGAGTAGTAGGTTGTGATCTACTTTATCAAATGCCTTACTGAAGTCCAAGTAAATTATATCCACAGCATTCCTCTGATCCACTAATTTTGTCACTTGGTCAGAGAATGCAATAAGGCTTGTCTGGCATGATCTGTTTTCAGGCAGGTGGCTGTCCAGTCTCTTCTTGAAAACCTCCAATGATGGAGCACCCACAACGTCTGGAGGCAGGTAGTTCCACTGGTTAATTGTTCTCACTGTCAGGAAGTTTCTCTTTAGTTCCAGGTTGCTTCTCTTCTTGATTAGTTTCCATCCGTTGCTTCTTGTCCTGCCTTCAGGCACTTTGGAGAATAGCTTGACTCCCTCTTCTTTGGGGCAGCCCCTGAGATACTGGAAGACTACTATCATGTCCCCCCTCGTCCTTCTTTTCACTAAACTAGACATACCCAATTCCAGCAACCGTTCCTTATATGTTTTAGTTTCCAGGTCTTTAATCATCCTGGTTGTTCATCTCTGCCCTTTTCCCAAAATCTCAATATCTTTTTTGTAATGCGGTGACCAAACCCGGATGCAGTATTCCAGGTGTGGCCTTAAGTAAGGATATATAAACGCAAACTCTCTCGTTCCTCTCTTATCCTTCCTGTTCTCCCTAATTTCTTTTTTTTTTTCCCGTCCTCTTTTTCTCCTAGTTCCTTGACCAGTTCCGGAGGGAGGCGGAAGATGACAGCGGTGGACACTCTGCCTGACAGTGCCGAGGCAGTCGAGATGGAGGACGCCTCCACATCCCAGTTCCAGGTGGAGAAACACTCGTGGGAGGGGTTGCGTGACATCATTCACGGCAGCCGGAAGTACACGGGAATGATCGTGAATAAGGCCCCCCACGACTTCCAGTTTGTCCGTAAAACAGAAGAGTCAAGCCCTCATTCCCATCGGCTGTATTACCTAGGTATGACCTCACCTCGGTTGGCACCAAAAAGATGCAATTAGGGTTGATCACACAGCCCGCCAGATGTTCAGAGTTTCAAATTTGGCATTTTTATCCATCTGTCTTCCCAAAGACCTGGGATGTTGTTGTTGTTAGTTGGAAAGTCGTGTCCGACACCTCGCGACCCCATGGACAACATTCCTCCAGGCCTTCCTGTCCTCTTCCATCTTCTGGAGTCCCTTGAAGCTCATGCCTCCTGCTTCAGTGACTCCATCCAGCCACCTCCTTCTCTGTCGTCCCCTTCTTCTCTTGCCCTCCATCTTTCCCAGCATTAGGCCCTTCTCCAGTGAGTCCTTCCTTCTCATTAGGTGGCCAAAGTACTTGAGTTTCAACTTCAGGATCTGGCCTTCTAAAGAGCAGCCAGGGTTGATCTCCTCCAGGACTGACCGGTTGGATCGCCTTGCAGTCCAGGGGACTCGCAGGAGTCTTCTCCAGCACCATAGTTCAAAGGCCTCCATTCTTTGGCGCTCAGCCTTTCTTATGGTCCAACTTTCACATCCATAGATTGCAACTGGGAAAACCATCGCCTTGGCTATACGCACTTTTGTTGGCAGGGTGATGTCTCTGCTTTTTAGTATGCTGTCTAGATTTGCCATAGCTTTCCTCCCCAGGAGCAAGTGTCTTCTAATTTCTTGGCTACAGTTCCCAACTGCGGTGATCTTGGAGCCCAGGAAGATAAAATCTGTCACTACCTCCATTTCTTCCCCATCTATTTGCCAGGAATTGAGAGGGCCGGATGCCATGATCTTGGTTTTCTTAATGTTGAGTTTCAAGCCAACTTTTGCACTCTCCTTCTTCACCCGCATCAAGAGGCTCTTTGGTTCCTCTTCACTTTCTGCCGTTAGAGTGGTATCATCTGCATATCTTATATTTGTGTGTGTGTGTGTGTGTCTGTGTGTGTATTCTAGGCCCATTAGGCTGCCAGTTACAATCTGTTGTCTGTTTTCAGCCTGTTCGTTCGTTCGTTCGTTCGTTCATTCATTCATTCATTCTTACAAATAACTCGGGGTATTGAGCTTAGCAACCCATCCTCCTTCCCCTCCTCTTTCCCCACAACAACAACTTTGCTAGGTTGGTTGGGCTAAGTGAGAGGGATGGCCCAAAGTCACCCAACTGACTTTCGTGCCTAAGACGGGACTAGAACTCACCATCTCCTGGTGATTGGCCCAAAGTCACTCAGCTGGCTTTCATGTCTAAGGCGGGACTAGAACTCCCCGTCTCCTGGTGATTGGCCCAAAGTCATCCAGGTGGCTTTCATGGCTAAGGCGGGACTAGAACTCCCCGTCTCCTAGTGATTGGCCCAAAGTCACCCAGCTGGCTTTCGTGGCTAAGGCGGGACTAGAACTCACCATCTCCTGGTGATTGGCCCAAAGTCACCCAACTGACTTTCGTGCCTAAGACGGGACTAGAACTCACCATCTCTTGGTGATTGGCCCAAAGTCACCCAGGCAGCTTTCATGCCTAAGGCAGGACTAGAACTCACGGTCAAAAGTCAAAGTCACCCAGGCCGCTTTCGTGTCTAAGGCAGGACTAGAATTCACCATCTCCTGGTGACTGGCCCACAGTCACCCAGTCGGCTTTCACGCCTAAAGCGGGACTATAACACTGAGCTTTACCGAATGTGTGCTCCCTCGGCTTGCGTGTTTTCTTGCAGACGTTTCATTACCTAACCAGATAACACAATCAGTGCTAGTAGGGAGTGGGGTTTGTGGAGAGGAGGAGGAGGAGGAAGAGGAAGGGGGAGGGGAGACAGTAGGGTCCTGGCTGCTCTCTCAGCTGGCTTGTTCTCTTGCAGACGTTCCTTTACTCAGACTAGGTAACGTCACCAGTGCTGATTGTGTGTGTCTCTGTTTGGTCCGGAGAATTTTAAAAAAGAAAAACTACCGTGTTTAAACTCACAAAGAGCTTCTAATCCAGTGGTTCTCTACCTGTGGGTCGGGACCCCATTTGGGGTCGAACGACCATTTCACGGGGGTTGCCAAACAATGCAGTCCGCCATTTTTTCCCCCTTTTCCTTAGCTGTGCTCCTCCCTTTTATTCTATTGGCTTTTGAAAGCCAATAGAATAGACTCTCTCGAATAGAGTCTAATTCTATTGGCTTTCAAAAGCCAATAGGAATTGTCCAGGCTGTCTCTGCCCTGTTGAGCCCGCCAAAAGTCCCATTCTGCAAACGGTGTTGCACCAGTTGAATAGTCCTCGACTGACGACCGGTTGAGTAGTCCTCGACTTGCGACCGGTTGGGGGTCGTGGCATTAAAAAGGTTGAGAACCACTGTTCTAATCCGTAGAGTTTAAATAAAAGGCTTTTTTTCCCTGTTCTGACCTTCCTCATTTAGGAATGCCGTACGGAAGCCGGGAAAATTCTCTCCTGTACTCGGAGATTCCCAAAAAGGTACGGAAGGAAGCCCTCCTGCTGTTGTCGTGGAAGCAAATGCTGGATCATTTCCAGGTGAGAACATCTGTCGTTATACACCACACACACACACACACACCGTGGCCCTCGGGTGTTTCGGCCAAATCTGGAATCGGACCCAGGCAGTCCCCGCATAACGACCACTGTTGGGATCCCCCAACTCTGTTGCTAAGCAATGTGGTCATTCAACAAGGCATCCCACGACTGTAGTAAAATGTGACGATGTCACTTTTTCTCCTGGACGTTAAGCGAAACATCTAGTTTTCGGAATCTGCTTAGCAGAAGCTGCCAATGTGACCGTGGGAAATTTCAACCGGGGTAAATGCCCGCGAGATGCGAAGCGCCTGAATCTCAATCACAGGAGGGTGGTTTAAGTGTGAGAATCAGTCACAAAGTCACTTTTGTAGCACCGTTGTAGCTTTGAATGGTCGCTAAACAGGACCGTCGTTAAGTGAGGACTAACCCTTATGGTCCTTTACTTAAAGGAAAAATGCATTCACTTTGGGGGGGATGCACCCTAAATTCACGTTCTTTCACCCCACTGATTCTTTCCCATCTTGCCCAGGCAACAACTTGGAACGGTCGCCAAAAAGGACCGTCGTTAAGTGAGGACTGCCTGTCTTGTCTCTTATTTAAAGGGAAATGCATTTATTGCTTGGGCCCATCTGAATTCACACTAGTGGTCTGTTCCTTCATCCCAATGATTCTTTCCCTCCTGCCTAGGCAGCAACTTGGAATGGTCACTAAACAGGACCGTTGTTAAGTGAGGATCACCTGTTTTGTCCTATATTTGAAAAGAAACACATTTGTCTCCTGGGGGGGGGCCTCTGAATCCGCACCAGCGCTCTGTTCCTTCTTTCCACCAGTTCTTTCCCTCCCGCCCGGGCAGCAACTTGGAACGGTCGCTAAACAGGACCGTCGTTAAGCGAGGACATCCTGCATTTTCCTTTATTTGAAAAGAAACCCATTTATCTCTTGGCAGAGGGGCTCTGGATCCGCACCTGCGCTCTGTTCCTTCATTCCACCAGTTCTTTCCCTCCCGCCCAGGCAGCAACTTGGAACGGTCGCTAAGCAGGACCGTCGTTAAGCGAGGACAGCCTGTATTTTCGTTGATTTGAAAAGAAACACATCTCTTGGTGGGGGGGCTCTGGATCCACATCAGGGCCCCGCTCCTTCATCCCACCGGTTCTTCTTCCCCCCCCCCCCAGGCGACCCCGCACCACGGGATGTACTCCAGAGAGGAGGAGCTGCTGAGGGAGCGCAAGCGGCTGGGCGTCTTCGGGATCACCTCCTACGACTTCCACCGAGAGAGCGGCCTCTTCCTCTTCCAGGCTAGCAACAGCCTCTTCTACTGTCAGGATGGAGGCAAAAATGGCTTTATGGTGAGTTTCTCACCGCCGGTTCCCTTCCTTGCGGCCCTTGAGTGACAGGTGCCTTTTTTGGGGGGCCTCCGTGATCAAAGCGATTGTGCTCGGAAAGAAGCGGGAATAAACGCCGCCCCCCAAATTTAGGTCGCTCAGTGAGACATTTGTGCTCGAAGTAGGTAGGAATAAACGCGCCCCCTCCCCCAAATTTAGGTCACTAAATGAGACATTAGTTAAGTGAGTTACGCCCCGTTTTATGACCTTTTCTTGCCACGGTTATTAAGGGAATCACTGCAGTTGTTAGGAACCCGGTTGTGAAATGACTCTGGCTTCCCCGTTGACTTTGCTTGTCAGGAGGTCGTAAAAAGGGGATCTCGTGACCCGGGGACACTGTTAACCGTCATAAATATGAGTCAGTTCATCACATGACCATAGGGGGATGCTTCATAAGTGTGAAAAACGGTAATAAAGTCACTTTTTTTCAGTGCCGTTGTAACTTTGAACTTTCATGATAGATAGATACTTTGAACATACATGATAGATAGATAGATAGATAGATAGATAGATAGATAGATAGATAGATAGATAGATAGAGGTAGGTAGGTAGGTAGGTAGATAGATAGACAGACAGACAGACAGACAAATAGATATGGATGGAGGGATGGATAGATAGATAGACAGACAGACAGACAGATGATACAAATAGATATAGATGGATGGATGGATGATAGAGATAGATAGATAGACAAAGACAGACAGACAGAGACAGACAGACAGATGATACAACTATAGATGGATGGATGGATAGATGGATGGATGGTAGAGATAGACAGAGACAGACATAGAGACAGACAGACAGATGATACAAATAGATATAGATGGATGGATGGATGGATAGATAGATGATATAGATAGATAGACATGATAGATACACCTATGCCAGGGGTAGGCAACCTTGGCTCTTTTATGATTCATGGACTTCAACTCCCAGAATTCCTGAGCCAACATGGCTCAGCTTGGAAACCTCCCTGTCCCCTCAGCATGTATGGCTCAGGAATTCTGGGAGTTGAAGTCCACGAGTTATAAACGAGCCAAAGTTGCCTACCCCTGGCCTAGGGGTTGGGGACACCTGTTCTAATCCAACCCTCTGCTCAGGCAGAAAACCCTATACTAGGGGTAGGCAACCTTGGCTCGTTTATGACTCGTAGACTTCAGCTCCCAGAATTCCTGAGCTGAGGAGAAAGGGAGAGGTTTCCAAGCTGAGCCATGCTGGCTCAGGAATTCTGGGAGTTGAAGTCCACCAGTCATAAAAGAGCCAAGGTTGCCTATCCCTGCTCTAAACTGATAACGTCTACATCAGTGGTTCTCAACCTTTCTAATGCTGTGACCCCATAATACAGTTCCCCATGTTGTGGTGACCCTCAAGTGGGTGTGGCCACCAATAAGAGGGAGTAGGACAGCTAGGGAAAAGGGAACAAAATGGTGGACAGCATGGTTTGGCGACCCCCATGAAATGGTCATTCGACCCCAAATGGGGTCCCGACCCACAGGTTGAGAACCACTGGTCTACATTAATTGACATTAATTATGCTTTCATATGTTCCTTTAGGACAGGGGTAGGCAACCATGGCTCTTTTATGACTTGTGGACTTCAACTCCCAGAATCCCTCAGCCAGCATGGCTCAGCTTGGAAACCTCTCCCTTTCCCCTCAGCATGGCTGGCTGAGGAATTCTGGGAGTTGAAGTCCACGAGTCATAAAAGAGCCATGGTTGCCTACCCCCTGATTTAGTGACTGCTTGAAGTTGCAACAGCACTGAAGGAAGTGATTCACCACCGTTTTTTTCACACTTAAACGACCGTTGCAGCCTCCCCGTGGTCACGTGATAAAACTTGGGGTGCTTGGAAACTGGTTCCTATTTATGACGGTCGCATTGTCTCCGGGGGTGACGTGATCCCCTTTTGCAACCTTCTGACAATCAGAATCAACGGAGCCAGACTCACTTAACGACTGGCTTGCTGGCTTCACAACAGCAGTGATTCATTTAACAACTGTGTTACTAAAGAACTGCAGTGATTCACTTAACACCTGTTTTAGGAAAGATTGTAAAATGGAGCAAAATTCATTTAAGAAATATGTCTCACTTAGCAACAGGAATTTTGGGCTCAGTTGTGGTCATAGGTTAAGGACTGCCCTTAGGTTTTTTTATTTATTTTTAAAAGCTTTATTGATTTTCTAATTTTACATTTAAATATTTAAAAATCAACAGGGCGGCTGAGTTAATCGATCGTTCAATAACATAACAAGTATCTTTAGTGCAAGTCTCAAACTACCACATTAAATATTTCCTCTCTTTTCGCCTTAGTATTTACCGTCTCACGTTTAAACTAATACGATTCTTATTATATCAATTAAATAAAAATAACTTTCTTAACATTTATCAATAATTTTTAGTTTATACATCTCCTGGTTATTTTAACATTCGGTCTTTATAGACAATCAATGTCCTAAGTAGTTTTTCCCAATTTTTAGTTTCCCATTAATATTTAGATTTAACATTTAATATTTATAAGTTCCAAGTTTTAAATAACCCCAGTTCCCTTTATCACAATTCATCACAAGATCTAATGTTCAGGATACACGTCTTATCTATTTGAGTATATTCTATTTCTCGCCATCTTACCTCAACTAATTAATAATACAGCATAACATTCTTATTAATTTTCTACTAATTTCCAAATGTCTTAAATTTAGTAACCAACATTTCTCTTTATTTCAACATTAAATGCTTCCTCTCTTTTTTCTCTTGATGTCTGCTATCTCATATTTAAGCTAATAGTTTTTATTATAACAGCTAAGTAAAAACATGTTTATTACATTTATCAATAGATTAGATGTTAAGCGACTTTGCTAGTCGGAAGCCGGCTGGGAAGATCGCAGTTGGCGATCACGTGACCTACGCCCCCCCCCCCAATGCTCCAATTGTGGGAGATCTTGTTGAAAAGTGCCCAAATTCTGATCACGTGACTGTGGGGCTGTCATAACGGTTGCAAATGCAAGGACCGGTCATAACTCCCTTTTGGAAACTTTGCAGTCGTTAAACGAACGGCTGTCACTCGAGGAGCACCTGCAAATGGCTAATTCAAAGGCAATTTCCTTCGGCTCCAGGTCTCTCCTATGAAGCCGCTGGAAATCCAGACGCAATGCTCCGGCCCCAGGATGGACCCCAAAATCTGCTCAGCGGACCCTTCCTTCTTCTCATTCATCAACAGCAACGACCTATGGGTGGCCAACATTGAGACGGGGGAAGAACGGCGCCTGACTTTCTGCCAGAAAGGTAATTCTATTCCATTCCATTCCATAATTCTGTTCTATCCCATAATTCTATTCTATTCAACAGCCTATTCTATTCTATTCTATTCTATTCTATTCTATTCTATTCTATTCTATTCTATTCTATTCTATTCTATTCTATTCTATTCTATTTTATCCCATAATTCTATCCCATAATTCTGGTCTATTCTATACTATATTCTATTCAACATCCTATTCTATTCTATTCTATTATATTCTATCCCATTATTCTAGTCTAGTCTATTCCATTCCATTCTATTCTATCCCATAATTCTATTCTATTCTATCCCATAATTCTATTCTATTCTATATTCTATTCAACAGCCTATTCTATTCTATTCTATCCCATAATTCTGTTCTATTCCATTCCATTCTATTCTATCCCATAATTCTATTCTATTCTATATTCTATTCAACAGCCTATTTATTCTATTCTATTCTATTCTATTCTATTCTATTCTATTCTATTCTATTCTATTCTATTCTATTCTATTCTATTCTATTCTATTCCATAATTCTATTCTATTCCATTCCATTCTATTCTATCCCATAATTCTATTCTATCCCACAATTCTGTTCTATTCTATATTCTATTCAACAGCCTATTCTATTCTATTCTATTCTATTCTATTCTATTCTATTCTATTCTATTCTATTCTATTCTATTCACTGGGGGTTTTTAAGACACTTGATATAAAGAGCGTCACCATTTTTTTTCCAGGTTTATCCAGTGTGCTCGATGACCCCAAGTCAGCCGGTGTGGCCACTTTTGTCATCCAAGAAGAATTTGATCGGTTCACAGGGTACTGGTGGTGTCCAACATCTTGTCAGGAAGGTACGTGTTCCAGGCTGCCCTCTCTAAATGGCTGTCTTCTCCAATTAAGGTCTGAATCTGCTGGAAAAGAGGGCCCACCGTGTCTTTGGGATGGGAGGAACACCTCTGAGGGCAGCGTGTTCCATAAAAATGGGAGCCATAATATCTACGGAGATTCTCAGTCAATCCAGGTCCTGGTTGTCCCAAAGACAGCTGGTCATTTGCATCCTTTTTAGAGGGTTGTTGAGGCCACCTGGAGGTTTGTCTGTGTCCTCCGGGTCCCCTGAGTGGTGCAAATGGGTGTGGAGCTTTTTTGGCTGCAGGATGTCTTCTGCCCTGGGTCCCTTCCTTGTTGAAGACGGGTACAGGCTGCTGGGGATGAGTCTGTGTTGTCTGCCTCTCCAACTGAAGCGCAAATGGTTCCTGGAGCCTGCAATGGTTTCTGGGAATCCGTCCAACCTCCCGCACCATCCGAAGGGTGTTCATCCCAAAGTGCACGGCTCAGTGTCCGTGGAGATGCTCAGTCAATCCAGGTCCTGGTTGTCCCAAAGATGCTTTTTCAGGAGGCAACTGGACTTTCTTGTGTTTCTTTGAAGACGTTTCGCTAAAACAGAATTTTCTGTTTCTAAAACAGAATTTCTAAAAGAATACAAATGACCAGCTATCCGCAAGGAGTATAAATCCTTCCATTTCCCCCACCATCCAGTCAGAGCTGAAGAAGCTTCTTGGATGAGAAGCAAAACGTCTTCAAAGGAAAAACAAGAAAGTCCCGTCGCCTCCTGAAAAAAGCACCTTTGGGATATGGGAGCCATAATCCAGACCATGTGGTCTGTGGTTTTTTTCCCCGCCTCAAGACAAAAGGATTATAAGCAGATCCTCTCTGTGTGAGGAAGGGCAATCTGATGTGTCCCATTTCCACAACACAAAAGAAAAAGATTTCGCTAGATTTGGTACGTGAAGGCTCAAAGAAAAATATCAAAAGTTCACTGGAGTTGTGCTCCTGTTAATTTATAAGCTACCCACTGATGCTAATTTCAGTCAGTCAGAATAGAGCTGGAAGGGACTTCCAGTTTGCCATCGCGGCCGCCGCGAACACTGGAAGGCGAGCTCCGCGTTCGATTTCGTTCCGCTGGGGGGACCCTGAAAAGGGTCGAAAGTCGCCCTGTAGGGGCGACGAGCAAGGAGGGGACCCCCGCTTGATTGCGGGAGGGCTGCAGCCCTTCCGCTTGATCCAGGGCAGCCCTGCAAACCGGCTGAGGAAAGGCCGGCTGTAGCAATATGGGTCATCACTAAGCTGCTGACAGCCGAAGTTACCATCAAGCACTTCTAAAGCAACACGGATGAAACTGGGTGAGATCTGATCTTCTCTTTAAGATCTTACCATATATTCCGGCGTATAAGACGACTTTTGAGAGTGTCGAAACAGCCTCCGAACTCAGGGGTCGTCTTATACGCTGAGTCGTCTTATACGCCGCAAATAAGGTAGTTTCTGGCGTATAAGACGACTTTCTAGGCATGCGTCGATCGTCTTATACGCCGGAAATAACGTAGTTTCCGGCGTATAAGACAACTTTCTAGGCATGCGACTCGGCGTCGGTCATCTTGCGACCCGGCGTCAAACTCGGGGGTCGTCTTATACGCCGGGTCGCCCTATATGCCGGAATATACGGTAAGTATTTTCTTTTCCTGTAAAAGCTGCCCAAAGTATCTTTTCCCCCTGTGAGGAGAGAGGGAAGGGAATTTCTACCCCACCCTCTTAAGAACAGTGGCGACTCCCTTGGGTTAACTCCCCTGGTATAGGGTTTCCTGCCTGAGCAGGGGGTTGGACTAGATGACCTCCAAGGTCCCTTCCAACTTTTATTATTATTATTATTATTATTATTATTATTATTATTATTATTATTATTATTATTATTATGGATCATTGCACAGTCAGCCAGATGTTCAGACTGTATTTGGCATTTTGTCTACCTATCGAGTCCTTACCCAGGACTTGGGATAGGCAGATGTGGATGTTTGATGGTATTACAGGTATCGTCGCAGGATGGAAGCAGTTCCTAGCAAGGCCGCCTTTTGCAATTGACTAATAGCGAATTTGTCAATGCCAATGGTGTTCAAGTGGTGCTCCAGTTGTTTTGGGATTGCACCCAAGGAGCCTATGACTATTGGTACTACCCTTGCTTGCTTTTGCCACAGTCTTTCTATTTCTATTTGTAGGTCTTTGTATTTTGTTATCTTCTCCAGTTCTTTCTCTTCTATTCTGCTGTCTCCAGGCACTGCCACATCCACTATCCAGACTTTTTTGTCTTTCTTATCGACAATTGTTAAGTCTGGGGTGTTATGTTGCAGGTGCTTGTCTGTTTGAATTCTGAAGTCCCAGAGCAGTTTAATTTTATCATTTTCTATGACTTTCTCTATTTTATGATCCCACCAGTTTTTGCTTACAGGCAAATGATATTTTTTGCAGATCTTCCAATGCACCATTGTTGCTACTTTGTCATGCCGCTGCTTGTAATCAGTCTGTGCAATCTTCTTGCAACAGCTTACCAAGTGGTCCACTGTTTCTTCAGCTTCTTTGCATAGGCGGCACTTACTGTCTGTTGCTGTCTTCTCAATTTTGACTTTGTATGCATTTGTCCTTAAGGCTTGGTCTTGTGCAGCCAGAATTAGTCCCTCGGTCTCTTTCTTCAATTTTCCTGCTCTTAGCCATTGCCAGGTCTTGTTATTATCTGCTTTCCCAGCTATTTTTTTAATGTATTGGCCATGTAGTGCTTTGTTTTCCCATGCCTCTATTCTGTTCTTCATTTGGTCTTTCTTGTAGGCCAGTTTGGTCTCTCCAGTAGTCAGTAAGCCTTCCTGATATACTAATTTCAGTGCATCTTCATCATTGTTCTTCAGATATTCTTCCAAAGCCATTTTTTCTTCTTCAACCATCTGATGTACTTGTAGCATTCCACGCCCACCTATTTGCCTTGGTAGATAAAGTCTGTCAATGTCACTGCGTGGATGAAGGGCATGATTCATTGTCATTATTTTTCTGGTCTTCCTATCCATTGCTTTTAGTTCTGCTTGAGTCCAGTCCACTATTCCAGCTGTGTACCTAATGACTGGGATTGCCCAGGTGTTGATTGCCTTTATGGTATTTCCTCCATTGAGTTTGGACTTTAAGATCTTCTTCACTCTCTTGATATATTCACCTCTAACCTTTTTCTTGACTTCAGTGTGCTTGATGTTGTCAGCTTGAAGGATACCCAAGTATTTGTAGTAATCTTCCTCATCCAGACTCTTAATGTTATTTTCGTGGGGCATCTTGATTCCTTCAGTTTTCACTATTTTTCCTTGTTTGATAGTAAGTGTGGCACATTTGTCCAAGCCAAACTCCATTACAATATCTTGGCTATATATACGGACAGTGTTGAGCAGCGATTCTATTTCAGATGATGTTTTTCCATACAGCTTCAGATCATCCATGTAAAGGAGGTGGGATAGTCTGGCAGATGTTTTTGATGTTTGATAGCCATGTCCTGAGTTATTCAGTATTGTTGACAGAGGAAACAGTGCAATAACAAATAGTAATGGTGATAATGAATCTCCTTGAAATATTCCTCTCTTGATATTAACCTCTCCCAGTCTCTCACCATTGATCTGCAACTGTGTCTTCCATTGTGCCATCGATCTTTGCACAAATTTTCTGATGTTTCTACTGACTCCTGTTATTTCTAGTTATTATTATTATATTATTATTATTATTATTATTATTATTATTATTATTTATTATGGATCATCGCACAGTCAGCCAGATGTTCAGACTGGATTTGGCATTTTTGTCTACCTATCGAGTCCTTACCCAGGACCTGGGATAGGCAGTGTGGATGTTTGATGGTATTACAGATATCGTCGCAGGATGGAAGCAGTTCCTAGTAAGGCCGCCTTTTGCAATTGACTAATAGCGAATTTGTCAATGCCAATGGTGTTCAAGTGGTGCTCCAGTTGTTTTGGGATTGCACCCAAGGAGCCTATGACTATTGGTACTACCTTGCTTGCTTTTGCCACAGTCTTTCTATTTCTATTTGTAGGTCTTTGTATTTTGTTATCTTCTCCAGTTCTTTCTCTTCTATTCTGCTGTCTCCAGGCACTGCCACGTCCACTATCCAGACTTTTTTGTCTTTCTTATCGACAATTGTTAAGTCTGGGTTGTTATGTTGCAGGTGCTTGTCTGTTTGAATTCTGAAGTCCCAGAGAAGTTTAATTTTATCATTTTCTATGACTTTCTCTATTTTATGATCCCACCAGTTTTTGCTTACAGGCAAATGATATTTTTTGCAGATCTTCCAATGCACCATTGTTGCTACTTTGTCATGCCGCTGCTTGTAGTCAGTCTGTGCAATCTTCTTGCAACAGCTTACTAGGTGGGCCACTGTTTAATAATAATAATAATAATAATAATAATAATAATTATTATTATTATTATTATTATTATTATTATTATTATTATGTGAACGGTTGTAAGTCGAGGATTACTTGTACCATATAGTATCAACCTCGTTAACGCTCAAAACTTTTTTTCCCACTATGTATTTAAAATGGACTGTGATTAATACACACACACACACACACACATGTATGTGTATATAAATATATATGTATGATGTGTGAGTGTGTGTGTATATAGCAGGCATCAGAATTTCATTTTAATGTGTTCCATTCTGTACACAGAAAAAAAAAATGACAATAAGGTTTACCTTCTCTTATCTATTAACCTCCCTCCCGTCCTTCTACCCGCCTGCTTTCCATTTAGGACCCGAAGGCTGGAAGACCTTGCGAATTCTCTATGAGGAAGTGGATGAGTCTGAGGTGGAGGTGATTCACGTCCCTTCCCCAGCCCTTGAAGAACGGAAAACAGACACATACCGGTATCCCAGAACAGGTCAGTGAGGGGTGATGGAAGGAGAAAACAGTGGCAGATATTCCCAACAGAGCTAGCAGGGATCTCCTCCATATGTCCATATGCAGTCTATATGCAGACTGACATATACAATATAGAATAAAAGGCTTAGAAGTGACCTTGGAGGTCTTCTAATCCACCCCTGCTCAGGCAGGAGAACCTATACCATTTCAGACAAATGGCTGTCCAGTCTCTTCTTAAAAACCTCCAGTGTTGGAGCACCCACAACTTCTGGAGGCAGGTTGTTCCACTGGTTAATTGTTCTAACTGTCAGGAAATTTCTCCTTAGTTGCAGCTTGCTTCTCTCCTTGGTTAGTTTCCATCCGTTGCTTCTTGTCCTGCCTTCCGGCGCTTTGGAGAATAGCTTGACTGCCTCTTCTTTGGGGCAGCCCCTGAGATACTAGAACGTTGCTATCCTGTCCCCCCTCGTCCTTCTCTTCATTAGACGAGACATACCCAATTCCAGCAACCGTTTTTCCTAAGTTTTATGCTCCAGTCCCCTTTGTTGCTCTCTTCTCTGCAATCTTTCTAGAGTCTCAGCATCTTCATTTTTTGTTTTTGCCTTTCTGTGATCCTGAACAATTTGGAGTAGTCTAATCATGGTTTTTCCATGGTGGCACCCTTACTAACCACTGTGAGGAGAGAGGAGCAAACACTGCATAGGGCACCAGACAAAATTGTCAATATAATTAGATTATCTACGTAGCTCTTCCCCCCCCCCCCCAACTCAGGTGCAAAGAAATTAACCTAAGTGAGTAGAACTGATTTTTTTCCCTCATGGGGAGGGGAAACCATCTGGATGCAGATGTTACAACTTCAGATCACTATATTTTGCATCTCTTTATTTTACGTCCATTTCAGGTAGCAAAAATCCCAAGATCTCACTAAAACTGGCAGAGTTTCAAACCGACAGCCAAGGAAAGGTGAGTCCAACTGTTTAGGCTCCGGTATGGAAGCTTTGATTTTTATACTTTTATCTTAGGCCAGGGGTCTTCAAACTTCGCTCTTTTATGATTTATGGACTTCAAGTCCCAGAATTCCTCAGCCAGGCATGCTGGCTGAGGAATGCTGGGATTTGAAGTCCACCAGTCATAAAAGGGCCAAGTTTGGAGACTTCTGCTCTGGATCCAAGCCTGCAGTTTCATCAAAATGGCCGACTGAGGAATTCTGGGAGTTGAAGTCCACCAGTCATAAAAGGGCCAAGTTTGAAGACCCCTGCTTTATATCATCCTGGACAAATGGCTGTCCAATCTTTTGTTGGAAAACCAGATGTAATACAGGCAGTCCTTGACTTAACGAGCACATGATCAGTGGGAGACTGCAAAGCTCACAACTGTGAAAAATGGTCATACGTCACATTTTTCAGTGGACGGTCACTAAACGAACGGGTGTAAGTCGAGGACTACCTGTACAGGCAGGATTTATTTACATGTCCGCATGCTGATCAGGTGAACTGCCAGGGACGTTGCAACGGTCGTAAGCACGAGGATGAGTCGTGAATTACTTTTTTTTTCAACAGCATCCTAACTTTGAACGGTCACTAAACAAATAGTCCTGTTGGTTTTTTAAACTTTTTTTTCCTCCTGTGTGAGAAGATCTCCTTCTGGGAATGTGGGTCCACCTGAACTGGACGCTGTTTCCGGGTTTCCTTATCCGTGTAGGAGTCCAGCGTCACATTACAGTAGTGGCCAAAATTGTGGAAACCTTTTGGGAAAGCGGTACAGTAGAAGTGCCACCTTTGGTTACGTTTCCACCCATTTTTCTTCCAATTTCTTTATGACTGTAGCCTTGTTCACTTAATAATACTATTTTACATCGCTTTCTGGGCAACTGGTCAGCTCTTTGCACCACTACTTTAATTTTACTACGTTTTACAAGCTCACTAAACGAAAGAACACAAAAAAACCCAACCAACTTGACAGCGATCACATAACACACTGACAAATGTCCTCCTCTCAGCTTCAATACAGGACATCAATCACTGGATCCTCCTATGAGTCATTTAAAAATGAAAAAAAAAAAAAAAACCCCAAGCCCCAAAACAGCCTCAGTTCTCATTTGGTTAATTTGTTAGGTGAAATCTTCATTTTCCTTTTAAAATAAAAAAAATATCATTAAATAAAAATTAAGTCCAACTATCGGGATGATGACAATTGTTTTTCTCTAGATGGTTTTTTTTTTTAAACTGTATTGGGTTTTCCTTTCTTGGCTGGAATTTATTTATTTTCATCCTGCCTTTATTATTTTAATTGCCTATATATTTAATGGTCTATTTTGTTCCGCCCAAAGTAATTATGGGGCTGGGTGGCTTATAAAAAAAGCAACTTTGTAACAGAACCAAATAAAAATGAAAGTGCCTTTATCAACGAATGAATGAAAAGGAAGTTATCGTTTTAATTTTTTTTAAAAATTGTTTTTAAGCAATTTACTTTAATTGTGATTTAATTAAGTTCAATTTATAGAAGCTACTCAACCCCGGTGCAAATGTGCATATTGTTTCTGCTGTGGGGATACTTTTTCTGGCAGAGACGTGTAAATTTTGCCATCTACATAACTTTCTCCGGTTACACTTTCAATCTCTTTCCCCCCTCCCTGAATATTGGCAGATCATGCATGCCCGCGACATGGAGCTGGTGCACCCCTTTGCTACCATGTTCCCCAACGTGGAGTACATTGCGCGAGCTGGTTGGACCCGAGATGGCAAATAGTAAGTATCTGTGTAGTTGAGGTGGAGACAGCTAAGCTACCTTATCCCAGGTTAGGGTGTTTGCGCATTTTGATCAATATCTGAGTGAGGGGTCCTTGGTGCTCTCTGAGCTTGGTGGGCTTTTTTTTTTGCAGATGTTTCATTATCCAAACTAGGGTAATAAGAGGACTGGCACTGAGGATGTTACTTGATTGGGTCGTGAAACATTTGCAAGAAAAGCTCAGAGACAACCAAGAACCCCCCCCCCATCCTTTTCCTCCTCCTCCTCCTCCTCTGCACACCCTATTCCCTTCCAGTACTGATGTTGTTATCTAGTTGGATAATGAAAGATCTGCAAGGAAAGCACCAAGGAACCCACATTTTGTCGTTTCTTCATCCTCCCCTCCTCTTCCTCCTCCTCCCTTCCTCCTCCTCCCCCTCTTCTTCTTCTTCTTCTTCTTCTTCTTCTTCTTCTTCTTCTTCTTCTTCTTCTTCTTCTTCCCCTTCTCCCCCTCCCCCTTCTTCTTCTCCTCCTCTTCTTTCCCTTCTCCTCCTTCTCCCCCTCCTCTTCTCCTCCTCCTCCTCTTCTTTCCCTTCTCCTCCTCCTCCTCTTCTTCTTCTTCCCCTTCTCCCCCTCCCCTTCTACTTCTTCTTCTCCTCCTCTTCCTCCTCCTCTTCTTCTTCCCCTTCTCCCCCTCCCCTTCTACTTCTTCTTCTCCTCCTCCTCTTCCTCCTCCTCCTCCTCCTTCCCCTTCTTCTTCTTCCCCTTCTCCTCCTCCTCCTCCTCTTCTTCTTCTTCTTCTTCTTCTTCTTCTTCTTCTTCTTCTTCTTCTTCTTCTTCTTCTTCTTCTTCCTCCTCTTCCTCTTCTCCTTCTTCTTCTTCCCCTCCTCCCCCTCTCCTCTGCACACCCCACTCCCTTCTAGCACTGATGATGTTACCTACTTAGGTAATGAAAGATCTGCAAGAAAACCACCCAGTTCAGAAAGCACCAAGGAGCCCTCATTTCAACCATGAGCTACAAATATTCTCCTTCATCAATATGTGGGGTGTCTTGATCAAGGCTTTCCTGGGATCTGTGGCTTCTCCCTCCTGCCCTACTCCCAAGCTGTCTACCTTTTGAATTTCAGACGTTAGTGACTAAAAATGGGAAAAATTGAAATTAAAAAAAAGAGAGAGAGAGAGAGAGACTGGAAAAGTTGTGCCGGAGGAACTTGAGAACTAAACCCTGAGTTTGGTTTATGGCAGGGCTCTCCAGAACCTGGCACCTTGAAGACTGGTGGGCTTCAACTCCCAGAGTTCCTCAACCAGCCATAGCTGGCTGAGGAATTCTGGGAGTTGAAGTCCACAAAGTCTTAAAGGTGCCAGGTTTGGAGACACCCCCCCCCCCCCCAATTCACAGCATTACTCAGCTGTGTTCCCAAGGTTTAGTCTGCAGTTGCTCCCCCCTGGCTTTCCTGCCCGCCAACTTTTCTTTTCCTTCCCTCTCCCCCTTCCCTGCAGCGCATGGGCCATGTTCCTAGACAGACCTCAGCAGCAGCTCCAGCTGGTCCTCTTCCCTCCCGCCCTCTTCATCCCGGTCCCGGAAAACGAGGAACAGCGCCTGGAATTTGCCAAAGCCGTGCCCGAGAACACCCATCCCTTCATTGTCTACGAAGAAGTCACCAACGTTTGGATCAACGTAAGCCAGGCTCAAATACGCGGCCTTTTCTCACTTATAACTCCACCCCCCACTTAACAAGTGTGATAATAAGAATAATAAGAATAGACGAGAAAGAACTGGAGAAGATAACAAAATACAAAGACCTATAAATAGAAATAGAAAGACTGTGGCAAAGGCAAGCAAGGGTAGTACCAATAGTCATAGGCTCCTTGGGTGCAATCTAAAACAGCTGGAGCACCACTTGAACACCATTGGCATTGACAAATTCGCTATTAGTCAATTGCAAAAGGCGGCCTTACTAGGAACTGCTTCCATCCTGCGACGATATCTGTAATACCATCAAACATCCACACCTGCCTATCCCAGGTCCTGGGTAAGGACTCGATAGGTAGACAAAATCCCAAATCCAGTCTGAACATCTGGCTGACTGTGCGATGATCCATAGTAATAATAATAATAATAATAATAATAATAATAATAATAATAATAATAATAATAATAATAAAGTTGGAAGGGACTTTGGCGGTCATCTAGTCCAACCCCCTGCTCAGGCAGGAAACCCACACCATTTTGGACAAATGGCTGTCCAGTCTCTTCTTAAAAACTTCCAGTGATGGAGCATTCACTGCTTCTGGAGGTAGGTTGTTCCACTGGTTAATTGTTCTCACTGTCAGGAAGTTTCTTCTTAGTTCCAGGTAGCTTCTCTCCTTGATTTAGTTTCCATCCGTTGCTTCTTGTCCTGCCTTCAGGCGCTTTGGAAAATAGCTTGACTCCCTCTTCTTTGGGGCAGCCCCTGAGATACTGGAAGACTGCTATCATGTCCCCCCTCGTCCTTCTCTTCATTAAACTAGACATTTCCAATTCCAGCAGCCATTCCTTCTATGTTTTAGCCTCCAGTCCCCCAGTCATCTTTGTTGTACTCTTTCTAGAGCAGTGGTTCTCAACTTGTGGGTCGGGACCCCATTTGGGGTCGAACGACCATTTCACGGGGGTCGCCAAACAACGCAGTCTGCCATTTTTTCCCCCTTTTCCTTAGCTGTGCTACTCCCTTTTATTCTATTGGCTTTTGAAAGCCAATAGAATAGACTCTCTTGAATAGAGTCTAATTCTATTGGCTTTCAGAAGCCAATAGGAATTGTCCAGGCTGTCTCTGCCTGCTGAGCCCGCCAAAAGTCCCATTCTGCAAACGGTGCTGCACCAGTTGAGTAGTCCTCAACTTACGACCAGTTGAGTAGTCCTCGACTTACGACCGGTTGGGGGTCGCGGCATTAAAAAGGTTGAGAACCACTGTTCTAGAGTCTCAACCTCTTTTTTACTCTGATTCACTTAACAGCTGTGGCAAGAAAGGTCGTAACCCGGGGCAAAACTCTCCCAACAACTGTTCCCCGCCCCCGATTGCTGCCTCTTTGAGCGGATGGGTCCTTAGCCTCTCCTGCCGTTTTTGCCTCCCGGCTAGGTCCACGACATCTTCTACCCCTTCGCCCAGTCCGAGGGGGAAGAGGAGGAGCTGACTTTCCTCCGAGCGAACGAGTGCCAGACGGGCTTCTGCCACCTGTACAGAGTCACAGCCATCCTGCAGCGCAAGACGTACGACTGGACTCAGCCATACCTGCCTAGCAAAGGTGAGATCTGGGAGCGCTGGGGCCTCCTCCCTCTGCAGAGTCCTGGGACGTGAAAGGAAAGCCAACCCTGCTCCCTTCTAGCGCTCGTGAGGCTCCCTAGTTGGTGAAACGTTGCACGCTCCGAGAGCGACATTTCCTCCGCCGCTCTACAACCCCTCCTCCCTTCCAACCCTGGTGACGTTACACCGTTAGGTCATAAGACGTCTGCGAGGAAAGCACCAAGCTCAGAATGCACCAAGCATCCCACAGCCATCCTCCTCCTCCCCTCTCACCCCACTCCCTTCTTGCACTGATGATGTTACCTACCTGGGTCATGAAACGTCTGAAAGAAAACGGCCAAGCTCAGAGAGCACCAAGGACCCCACAGTCCCATTATTCCTCCTCCTCCTCCTCCTCCTCATCTCCACTAACCCTTCTTGCACTGATGATGTTACCTACCTGGGTCATGAAACGTTTGAAAGAAAACGGCCAAGCTCAGAGAGCACCAAGGACTCCACAATCCTCCTCCTCCTCCTCTCCACTAACCCCACTCCCTTCTTGCACTGATGATGTTACCTACCTGGGTAACGAGACGTCTGAAAGAAAACGACTAAGCTCAGAGAGCACCAAGAACCCCACAGTCCCATTCCTCCTCCTCCTCCTTCTCCTCTCCACTAACCCCACTCCCTTCTTGCACTGATGATGTTACCTACCTGGGTCATGAAACATCTGAAAGAAAACGGCCAAGCTCAGAGAGCACCAAGGACCCCACAGTCCCATTATTCCTCCTCCTCTCCACTAACTCCCTTCTTGCACTGATGACGTTACCTAGTTCGGTTATGAAGCAGAAAACAAGAAAACAACCAGGTTCAGAGAGCACCATGGACCCCAGTCTTGAATATTTCAATACACAATCCCTTCCTAAGATAGCTTATGTTGCATTGGTTCAGAGTGGGGAAAAAAATTTTTTTTTTCACCTGTTGCTTCTTTTTTTTTTAACAAACTGGTTTTCACAGGTAAGGAAAGTATACAGTATATGTCTGCAGGTAGTCCTTGACCTATGACTGCAACTGAGCCTAGAGTTGCAGTCATTCGGCAGGTCGCCACAGGAGTGCCTGATTTTACAAATTTTATTTTGTGGCAGCTGTTCAGCGAACACTACAGTCATAAAACAAATCCATTATACAAATCAGTATTTTTTTTTTTTTGCTGGAAACCAGAAGTAACAGGCCAGAAACTGGCAAATAATTTTTTTTTTTTTTTTAAAAAAAAGGCTGAAAAGCATGGGGTCATTGGGCGACGCAGTGCTGCAAATGGCTGTGGGTGTGACTTTGCGGGTGTCTGCATGTATGTGTGGTTGTGAGAACACCAGAATGGGGTCTTAAGCACCTGGGGGGAGGCTGTCGTAACGTCGAATTTGCCAGCCATTTAAAAACAACAAAGACGTTTAAGACCCTTTTTTAAAAAGTGGTCAAGTGAAATAGTGAGAAAGAGTAAACAACAGTGTGAACTTGTTCGCCCAGCACAGTTGTGGGTGGCAAAACGCCCACTTGGAAAAATCCTTTTTCTGGGATTTGCACGAATCTTTCGATCTGGCAGAAATTCTTCTCGGTCGATGTTGGTGGGCTCCTTTTAGCTCACGGGGTTTTCTCTTGCTATCTCCCCCTCCTGAGCCTTTCAGAAAAAAAGGAGAATATTTGTAGCCCAGGGTTGAAATGGAGTCTCCTGGATGTCCTCTGAATTGGGTTGTTTTTCCTCCAGAGGTTTCACAACCCAACTATGTAGCATCATCGGCGCTAGAAGGGAATGGGCTTTGTGGAGAAGAGGAAGGGGACTGTGGGGTCCTTGCTGCTTTTTGAGCTTAGTTGCTTTCTTACCGATGTTTCACGACCCAACTGTGTAACATCATCAGCGCTTGGGGACCTTGCAGGGAGGAGGAGGAGGAGGAGAATAGAAAGAAAAAGAAAGAGAAAGAAAGAGAGAGAGAGGAAGGGAAGGGAAGGGAAGGGAAGGAAGGAAGGAAGGAAGGAAGGAAGGAAGGAAGGAAGGAAGGAAGGAAGGAAGGAAGGACTGTGGGGTCCTTGGTGCTCTCTGAGCTTGGCTGTTTTCTTGCAGACGTTTCATGACCCAACTAGGTAACATCATCAGTGCTAGAAGGGAGTGGAGTTTGTAGGGGAGGGAGGGAGAGAGGAGGAGGAGAAGGGCTGTAGGGTTTTTGGCGCTCTCTGAGTTTGGCTGTTTTCTTGCAGACGTTTCATGACCCAACTAGGTAACATCATCAGTGCTAGAGGGGATTTTGTTGTTTGCTCTCTATATACAGATGCCTGCACCACCAGTTCAGACTGTCAGTCAAATAGTAAACAGCAGTCTAATCAAGGAACTACTAATGAGAAAACCACACTCTCACCAACACTGACAGGGCAAGCCACTTATCTACAAACAGAGAGCCAGCCCCACATTCCTTTCTAGCACTGATGATGTTACCTAGCTGGGTCATGAAATGTCTGCGAGAAAAAAAGCAAGTCAGAGAGCACTAAGGATCCACTGTCATCCTCCTCCTCCTCTTCCTCCTCCTCCAACTTCATCCCCTTCTAGCACTGATAATGTTATCTAGCTGGGTCATGAAACGTCTGCAAGAAAACAAGCAAGTCAGAGAGCATTAAGGACCAACTGTCATTCTCCTCCTCCTCCTTCTAGCACTGATAATGTTATCTAGCTGGGTCATGAAACGTCTGCAAGAAAACAAGCAAGTCAGAGAGCATTAAGGACCAACTGTCATTCTCCTCCTCCTCCTCCTTCTAGCACTGATAATGTTATCTAGCTGGGTCATGAAACGTCTGCAAGAAAACAAGCAAGTCAGAGAGCATTAAGGACCAACTGTCATCCTCCTCCTCCTCCTCCTCCTAGCACTGATAATGTTATCTAGCTGGGTCATGAAACATCTGCAAGAAGACAAAGCTCAGAGGCCACCAAGAGCTTCTCCTTTCAGAAAAAAACAAAAATGGGACTGTTCCCAGTTCATTTTAGACGAAAGCATCCTGTCTTGTTGTAAGGACACTCTTAAGGAGGTCACAAAGGGGAAGGCGACACTCCCAAGTGTTCTGCTCCCTTCCGCTTCATTTAAGGCAGGGGTAGGCCACCTTGGCTCTTTGGCGACTCGTGGACTTCAACTCCCAGAATTCCTGAGCCAGCATGGCTCAGCTTGGAAACCTCTCCCTTTCCCCTCAGCGTGGCTGGCTCAGGAATTTGGGGAGTTGAAGTCCATGAGTCATAAAAGAGCCAAGGTTGCCTACCCGTGGTCTAGTAGAAACTTCTAGAGCAGGGGTAGGCAACCTTGGGTCTTTTATGACTCATGGACTTCAAGTCCCAGAATTCCTGAGCCAGCATAGGGGAACAATGGCCCCCTCATGACTGGTGGACTTCAACTCCCAGAATTCCTGAGCCACCATGGCTCAGCTTGGAAACCTCTCCCTGTCCCCTCAGCATGGCTGGCTCAGGAATTCTGGGAGTTGGAGTCCACGAGTCATAAAAGAGCCAAGGTTGCCCAGCCCTGATTTAAGGCAAGGCAAACCCAGAGGTCTCCATAGGTCTTCGAACGTTTAGGCACGGGAGGATGGGAGCTGTAGCCCAGCAAATTATGGTTGATGCATTGTCCTCACAGCTGATCCCAGGGAGCCGCTGTGGAATTGGGCCATCGACTCTCTTCTGTCTTTTCAGGTGACTTCAAATGCCCTCTGAAGGAAGAAGCGGCCCTCACGAGTGGAGAATGGGAAGTTTTGGCCCGGCATGGATACAAGGTACAAGGTCTCTTGCGCGCCCAGTGAAAACGCCATTTCAGGCCTTTGCCATCTCTTCTCTGGTTCCTGATTGATAGTTTCCTACTGCAGGAATCAGAGAGGTGGTTTGGTGTATTGGTTATGGCACCAGGATAGATACCAGGAGTCTCTGAATTCTAGTTCTGCCTTAGGCAGGAAAGCCAGCTGGGTGACCTTGGGCCAATCACCAGGAGACGGTGAGTTCTCCCTCAGGCATGAAAGCCGGCTGGGTGACTTTGGGCCAATCACCAGGAGACGGTGACTTCTAGTTCCACCTCAGGCAGGAAAGCCGGCTGGGTGACTTTGGGCCAATCACCAGGAGATAGTGAGTTCTAGTTCTCCCTCAGGCATGAAAGCCGGCTGGGTGACTTTGGGCCAGTCACCAGGCAACGGTGAGTTCTAATCCTACCTTAGTCATGCAAGCCGGCTGGGTGATTTTGGGCCAGTCATCAGGCGACGGTGAGTTCTAGTCCTGCCTTAGACATGAAAGCCGGCTGGGTCAGTCACTTTCTCTCAGCCCGAGGAAGGAGGCAGTGGCAAATCCCTTTAAAAAAAAAAAAAAACTTGTCAATTCAACTGCCCCAGGAGTCAAAAACTGACTCAAAGGCTCCCACATACACAGACACACAAATGCTGTTTTACTCGAGCAGATTTTTCCAACTGGTAAGATCATCTTTTGCTGAAAAGGTTACCCTGGGCAGAATACACTGTTAATTGCAGGATTTATCCATTGACTTAATATGCAGACTCTGGGATCTTTTTTGCAGCTAAGCTAAGGAGGGAGCATCCGCGGATCAGGTTCAAAAAAGTCAGAACGATCGCTGTGATCAAAACTGGCTCAGAACTTTAAAGATGACACCGCTGCTGCCCTTTTCAGCCCAACTGGGCCAATAACCTCCGAAACTAAGGGTGTGTAGCTGAAATGAACTCTCACAATTCTGATTCTCAAAGCAGTTTTCCACGTGCGCTCTGCCCCTCCCATCCTCTCTCACTCCGTCCGTCAAGGACGAAACTTGCCATTTGCGTTGGGTGCATGTGTGCGTGTGTGGGTGAGGTGCTGCTTTAGAAGTGTTTAGATCAGTGGTTCTCAACCTTTTTAATGCCGCGACTGCCTCCGGTCGTAAGTCGAGGACTACTCAACTGGTGCAGCACCATTTGCAGAATGGGACTTTTGGCGGGTTCAGCAGGGCAGAGACAGCCTGGACAATTCCTATTGGCTTTTGAAAGCCAATAGAATTAAACTCTATTCAAGAGAGTCTATTCTATTGGCTTTCAAAAGCCAATAGAATAAAAGGGAATAGCACAGCTAAGGAAAAGGGGGGGAAAAATGGCAGACTGCGTTGTTTGGCGACCCCCGTGAAATGGTCGTTCGACCCCAAATGGGGTCCCGACCCACAGGTTGAGAACCACTGGTTTAGATGGAGAAACGAAACCTTTATGATTCCTCTGACGACCCGTGAGAGCCTGAAACCTTTCCAAGGGCACTGCAGCGGGTGCGGAGGAGAAGCAGACGGTTCCCATAACAAAGCGAAATTGTTTACAGAGACTAGATGAGAGGGTGGGGGGGTGTTTGGCTGGAGAAATTATCGTTTAATTCTATGAGTTGGTGTCTGGGAACCTCAAGAGTTAGTTTTGCTTCGACAGGATCGTGCCTTGTATTTCAATAAACCAGTGGTTCTCAACCTGTGGGTCGGGATCCCATTTGGGGTCAAACGACCATTTCACGGGGGTCGCCAAACCACGCTGTCCGCCATTTTTTTTCCTTTTCCCTAGCTGTCCTACTCCCTCTTATTGGTGGCCACACCCGCTTGGGGGTCACTACAACATGGGGAACTGTATTATGGGGTCACGGCGTTAGAAAGGTTGAGAACCACTGCAATAAACGGTAAGATTTTCAGAGCCTGGCGATTTGTTTGGATCCTTGAGCTGGACGTTGACACTTGTCTCTTTTGCATCTCCAGATTTGGGTCAATGAAGAAACGAAGCTGGTGTATTTCCAGGGCACGAAGGATACCCCATTGGAACACCATCTCTACGTGGTCAGCTACGAATCTCCTGGCGAGGTCGTGCGGCTCACCACTCTGGGCTTTTCCCACAGCTGCTCCATGAGTCAGGTCCGTTTCCGCAGGTCTGAAAGTTGAACTCTTGCAACCAGTCCATCCAGGTTAAAATGAAACCCACCTCACCCCCTGGTAGATGTCTGTGGAGTTCCTCAGTCATCCAGGTTATGGATGATTAATAATAATAATGATGATTATGATGATGATGATGATGCTCCAATGGTGTTAAAGTCATGTTCCAGTTATTTTGGGATTGCACCCAAAGTAGTACCAATAGTGATAGGCGCCTTGGGTGCAATCCCAAAACAACTGGAGCACCACTTGAACACCATCATCAGCATTGACAAATTCGCCATTAGTCAATTGCAAAAGGCGGCCTTACTAGGAACTGCTTCCATCCTGCAACGATATCTGTAATACCATCAAACATCCACATCTGCCTATCCCAGGTCCTTGGTAAGGACTTGATGGGTAGACAAAAATGCCAGATCCAGTCTGAAGGTCTGGCTGACTGTGCGATGATCAATAATAATAATAAATAATAATAAAGTTGGAAGATACCCTGGAGGTCATCTAGTCCAACCCCCTGCTCAGGCAGGAAACCCTATACCAGTGGTTCTCAACCTGTGGGTCGGGACCCCATTTGGAGTCTAACGACCATTTCACGGGGGTCGCCAAACAACGCAGTCCGCCATTTTTTTCCCTTTTCCTTAGCTGCGCTACTCCCTTTTATTCTATTGGCTTTTGAAAGCCAATAGAATAGACTCTCTTCAATAGAGTCTAATTCTATTGGCTTTCAAAAGCCAATAGGAATTGTCCAGGCTGTCTCTGCCTTGCTGAGCCCACCAAAAGTCCCATTCTGCACCAGTTGAGTAGTCCTCGAGTTACAACCGGTTGGGGGTCGCGGCATTAAAAAGGTTGAGAACCACTGCCCTATACCATTTCAGACAAATGGCTGTCCAGTCTCTTCTTAAAAACTTCCAGTGTTGGAGCATTCACCGCTTCTGGTTGTTCTACTGGTTAATTGTTCTCACTGTCAGGAAGTTTCTCTTTAGTTCCAGGTTGCTTCTCTCCTTGGTCAGTTTCCATCCGTTGCTTCTTCTTCTGCCTTCAGTCTCTTTGGAGAACAGCTTGACTCCCTCTTCTTTGGGGCAGCCCCTGAGATATTGATATCCCAAAGGTGCTTTTTTTTTTCTTCCCTCAAAAGGCAACTGGACTTTCTTGGTTTTTCCTCGGAAGACGTTTCAGTCAGAACTGAAGAAGCTTCTCGGACGAGAGGCGAAAGGTCTTCAAGGAAAAACCAAGCTAGTCCAGTCGCCTTTTGGGGGAGGGAGGGAAAAAAAAAGCAGCTTTTAGGATCATCCTGGTAGACCTGCGCTTCTACGGGCAGGTGTCCATATTCATTCCACGATGTTTCTAGAGTCTCTGGTGACTAAGACTAGCCCTGAGTGAACTAAGAGTAGCCTCTTAGTCTCTAACTCAGTGGTTCTCAACCTTTTTAATGCCGCGACCCCCAACCGGTCGTAAGTCGAGGACTACTCAACCGGTCGTAAGTCGAGGACTACTCAACTGGTGCAGCACCGTTTGCAGAATGGGGCTTTTGGCGGGCTCAGCAGGGCAGAGACAGCCTGGACAATTCCTATTGGCTTTTGAAAGCCAATAGAATTAGACTCTATTGAAGAGAGTCTATTCTATTGGCTTTCAAAAGCCAATAGAATAAAAGGGAGTAGCACAGCTAAGGAAAAGGGAGGAAAAAAACGGCGGACTGCGTTGTTTGGCGACCCCCGTGAAATGGTCGTTCGACCCCAAATGGGGTCCTGACCCACAGGTTGAGAACCACTGCTCTAACTGGAAGTCTTCTCCAGCTTGGAGTTATGGGGGCAGAGCAGAAATGGTCCACTTGTAACGTGGCTGGCAATTACAAAAAAAAAAAGAAAGAGAGAGAGAAAGAGAAAGAAAGAAAGAAAGAAAGAAAGAAAGAAAGAAAGAAAGAGAAAGAAAGAAAGATTCCCAACTGCTCTTTAATTGGGGAAGAGAAGAGGGAGTGGTCCAGATCAACCAAGGACCCGAATACACCATGTTGGAGTCTTCATCGTTACAGGTAGTCCTCACACTTGAGCCCAAAATTTCCGTTGCTAAGCGAGACAGTCGTTAAGCGAGCTTTGCCCCATTTTTCGTTCTCTCCCGTCGCAGTTTTTAAGCAAATCACTGCAGCTGTTAAGTTAATAACACGGCCATTAAATGGATCTGGCTTCCCCTTTGACCTGGCCAAAGGGGGTCAGGAGACCTGGGGATGTTGCAACCCTCACGAATATGAGTCAGTTTCCAGTTTCGATCCCGTGACCCTAGGAATGCCGCAACGGTCGTAAGTGTGAAAAATGAACACACCTCGCTTTTTCCAGCGCTGTCGTTCACTTTAGTCAGTGAAAGAGCTGTCGTAACTTGAGGACCGCCCTGTATCCTGACCAGCAAATTCTTTCCAGAATAGGCTTGACAGATCACCAGCTACCTGATCCTTTTTTGAGTTCAGGCTGCAGGGGATTCTGGGTATTGAAAGTTCCAGGGGATTCTGGGAGTTGAAGTCCAAAAGTCTTTAAAAGTCGCCAGGTTTGGACCTCCCCCCCCCCGCTTGGTCTGGATGCCGGACGCTCTCCTGATCTTCATCCTTTCCCGCAGAACTTCGATATGTTCATCAGTCACTACAGTAGCGTCAGGACCCCTCCCTGTGTGCACGTTTACAAGCTCAGCGGCTCCGACGAAGACCCCCTCCACAAGCAGCCAAAGTTTTGGGCCAGCATGATGGAAGCTGCCAGTGAGTAAAATTGGGCCGGGCGTCTGAATTCAGCCACGGGCACCAAGGTTAGGGCCAGCCACACACAGGTGGCCAAGCTCTGCCTTGAGATCTTAGGAAGAAGGGGTGGGCCAACTTCTCTGTGGAACTGGGGGGGGGGAGAGAGAATTTGGGATGGGAGGGTTCTTGCCCCGCCCTTCGTTCTTGACGGACATGCATTAATTAATTTATTAAATATATATCGCCACCCAACTTGGACATCGGTGAGTCTGGCTTAAAAATTCGGCATATAAAACCCCCATCTCTCTCCCTCCCCCCCCCTCTCTCTCTCTCTCTCTCTTCTCTCTCTCTCTCTCCTCTCTCTCTCTCTCTCTCTCTCTCTCTCTCCCTCCCTCCCTCTCCCTCTCTCCCTTTCTCTCTCTCTCTCTCTTCTCTCTCTCTCTGACTCTGTCTGCCTCTGTTTCTGTCTGTCTCTGTCTCTGCCTATCTGTTTCTCTCTGTGTCTCTCTGTCTGTGTCTCTGTCTCTCTCTCTGTGTCTCTATCTCTGACTGTTTGTCTGTCTCTGCCTGTCTATCTCTGTGTTTCTGTCTGTCTCTCTGACTGTCTGTCTCTGTCTCTCTGTCTACTTCTCTGTCTTGTCTCTCGCTCTGCCTGCCTCTGTCTGTCTGTGTCTCTCTCTGTCTCTCTCTCTGTGTATGTGTGTCTTTCTCTGTCTCTGTCTGTTTGTGTCTCTGTCTCTCTCTGTGTGTTTGTCTCTGTCTGTCTGCCTGTCTGTTTGTCTCGCTGTCTGTCTCTCTCTCTCTCTGTGTGTCTCTGTCTGTCTCTCTCTCTCTCTCTCTGGGTCTCTGTCTGTCTCTCTTTTATATACACACAAACCTTGTGACAGCAACAAACAAATCAGCCACTCGATGAACTCCATCTGTGTCACCCCGAGGCTCGCTGGCAACACCATGTTTTGGGGGCATTATGGAAAAGCAGCAGCAGCACACAGGCCATCCTTAATTCAGGGGAACAATGTTCCATAAGGAAGGGGCCACCCCCCACCCCCCTGAAGGCCCTTTTCTGTGGCAGTATTACAGCTAGTCCTCAACTTACAACCACAATTGAGCCCAAAATGTTTGTGGCTAAGTGAAACCTTGGCTAACCTTGGTTTGCCTCATTTTACAACCTTTCATGTCACGATTGTTAAGTGAATCACTGCAGTTGTTAAGTTAGCGACACGGGTGGTTAAGTGAATCTGGCTTCCCCCATTGACTTTGCTTATCTGAAGGGAGATCACGTGACTCTGGGACTCTGCCACCGTCATAAATACGATATAAATATGCCAAGCGTCCGAATTTTGATCACACGACCACAGGGATACTGCAACGGTCGTAAGTGTGAAAAACGGTCATAAATCCCTCTTTTCAGTGCCGTTGTAACTTTGAACGGTCACTGAATGAACTGTTACAAGCCGAGGACTGCCTGTATTGGGAGAACCACTCTAGGATTTTGGATCGAAGAGCCCGTGTCTTCGTCTCCCTCGGGAGTTCGTTCTCCACGCCCGCAGAATACAGGCGGTCCTCAACTTACGACAGTTCATTTAGTGACCGTTCAAAGTTACAGTGGCCCTGAAGAAGTGACTGCTGCCCGTTTTTCACGCTTGTGACTGTTGTAGCCTCCCCACAGTCACACTATTTGCATTCAGATGCTTCGCAGCTGATTCGTACTTACGATGGCTGCAGTGCCCCCCCCAGAGTCACGTGATCACAATTTGCAAAATCCAGTGCCCCAGATTCACTTTGCAACCGTGCGACTAATTTAACAACCACAGCGATCCACTTAACAAAGGTGGCAAGGAAAAAAAAAATCACCCGATGGGGCAGACCTCACTGAACCAAATTTCTCTCACTTGGCAAGATAAACCATTCCAGGCTCCATTGCGGTCGTACGTCGAGGACTACCTGTATTCAGAAGCTACATTTTATGTTTAATTCCACGACGAGAAACAACCTGTTTTACTAAGCAGGACCATTCCCAGAGACATCTGGCAGGAGGACCTATGGGAGTCCTTGTTACGCTCACAAGGAGAAACCCCTCTTCCAACAAACAGGCTGGAACCGCAGGAAAAAACAAATCCCTTTTTATTATTCACAGACCTGAATCAATGTCCACACCTTCCCTTTTATTATGCAGCAAGGCGTGGCTTCCTAATGCCTTCTTCTTTGCCTTTGGAGCAGCCCCATTGCATTCCTCTGTCCTACTCTCTTTTCTTGCATCCTGGATACCGCCCAGCTGTGATTCAGCATTGTCTAACTCAGGCTCCCAGCACAGCTGTGTCTCAGCCTGAGCGTGAGTAGCGGGGCCAGGCTCCTCGTCCGACTGTAAGTCTTGGAGCTCCTTAGAGCCTTCCTCTGACTCGGATGTCCCTCCAGGCCCTTCCTTCTCCTCCTCCTCCTCCTCTGATTCCCCAGACTCAGCTGCCGGGTTCACTGCCTGGCGAGGACTCACAACAGGACCATCTTCGCTGGTAAGAAGGTGGCGTCGTGTGAGTACGACTGGCGTGACTCTTCCCCCACCCCTCTGCTTCCCGTGTTTTGTAGGCTGTCCTGCTGATTACGTCCCCCCCGAGATCTGTCATTTCCGCACGCAGTCCGACGTCGAACTCTACGGGATGGTGTACAAGCCGCACGACCTCCAGCCTGGGAAGAAGCATCCTACGGTGCTCTTTGTCTACGGGGGGCCTCAGGTAAGGCGGGTCCCGGTGGTCAGGAGGACGGGCCACCAAATGCAGGCAGTCCTCGACTTAACGACTGCAGTTGAGCCCACAGTTTCTGTTGCGTAATCGAGACGGTTCTTAAGTGAGCTTTGTCCCATTTTACGACTTTTCTTGCCATGCTTATTAAGTGAATCGCTCCAGTTGTTAAGTGAATCGTGAGATTGTTAAGCGAATCTGGTTTCCCCCGTTGACTTTGATGGTCAGGAGGTCGCAAAAGGGAACCACGTGACCCCAGGGCACTGCGACCGTCATGAATACAGTTGCCAAGCGTCTGAATTTTGATCATGTGACCGCGGGGATGCTGCAACCGGTCGTAAGTATGAAAAACGGTGCTTAGTCAATTTTTTTAGTGCCGTTGTAATTTCAAACAGTCACGAAGCGGATGTTTGGAAATCAAGGGTTCCCCGTACAGGTAGTCCTCGCGTTACCACTGTCCATTTAGTGACTGTTCAAAGTTACAACGGCATTGAAAAAATGGACTTACAACCGTTTTTCGCACTTAACAACTGTCACATAGTCCCCACGGTGACGTGATCAAAATTCGGACGCTTGGCAAGTGGTTCATAATTATGACAGTTGCAACGTCCTGGGGGGGGACGGTCACGTGATCCACTTTCACAACCTTCTGCCAAGCAAAGTCAATTGGGGAATCCAGATTCACTTCACAACCGTGTTACTGACTTCACAAATGCAATGATTCGCTTAACGACGACAAGAAAAATGGGCAAAACTCACCTAACCAGTGTTTGTCTTAGCAGCATCCCTTTTGGGTTCAATTGTGGTCGTAACTTCGAGGAATACCTGTATTCTTGGAAGTTTCCTCCAGTATCAAAGTTCAAAAACATCAAGCTTCTTCCTGTCCTTCAGAGCCTTCATGGTTCCGACAGATGAAACTCTTCAAAGAACTTCAAGGCATTGTTTACCTTAAAGAATCTTTATTCGAGAAGCATAGCATCGGCACATACATAGTCAAAGTCCAAATCTGAATTCCCCTCCCCTGAACACATAGTATCAAAGCACAATTCCCTCCTCTAATTTACAATCATAAATCACATTCTCCAATTAGTTTGAAATGCAGACCTTCCCTGCAGTTCTCCAGTCCAATTCTTATCGTCTCTTATTTCAAAAACCTTGGTTCTCACACTAGTTACAGTATTGTTATGTCTAACTAAACTCCCATGCACATTCCTCCCCCCCCCCCCAGTATCATCTAATTCTAACTCTAATTCTAAGAGTAAAACACAAGAAGGAAAATGATTGCAATTTCATATGTTGTCCAAACAAAAACATCCGATGTTAGCAGCGTTGACACCTTGGTTCAGAAAGCAAGAAAATTGCCTTTGAGGGAAAAGGTTGGTTTTCTGAGCTTGTGTGTTGGTTTTCCAATGTTTTGTTCCCAGGGTAGGTACACATCCTCAGCGGAGTTTAGTGGATGCCCGTGTTCTCCTGTTTGTAAGGGCTTTGTAAAGAGAAGAGCACCGACAGTGTCGTCCCCTAAATCAGAGTTCCCCAACCTTTCAGAGTTGGCGGCCTGGAGCAGGGGGGAGGGGGGGGAAAGAAGGGGTGGTGTGGGTAGTAAGCGCACGCGCGCTCGAACACCCATTGGTTGTGTGAGTGGTGCCGAAAGCGCTCGCAAGAGTGAGGCCGCAGATGCTTGCGACCCTCACACAAGTAGGGCTGCTAACGCCCATAACACTTGCACGAGTGGCGCCGCAAACAGCCGCGACATACGAGTGGGGCCACAAACACCAGCAACGCTCACCCAAGTGGGGCCGCAAACCCCCAGGATGCTCGGACGAATGGGGCCGCGAATACCCACGACGCACGAGCGCGGCTGCACACACACACACGCATATAAGCATGCAGTGGCCCAGTGGCCAATAGGATGCAGCCCGGAAGTGGGCCACAGCCCATAGTTTGGGGACTCCTGCCCTAAATTCCGCTGAAGGTGTTACCTGGCCTGGTAACGAAGCGTCCAAAAACCAACCCACAAATTCGGAGAACCAATCTTTCACCCTCATCCCGCAACTGAGCTACAGATATTCACCACGATTGCGAAACGGCCTTTGCTACCTTGGCCACGTTTTCAAAATGAGGATCGTACAGGAAACTGGATCCCACAAAAAGCTGCTTCCCTTACAAATGGGTGCCTTGTTCCCACCCCCTTTTTTTTTTCCTCTGCTCGTCTCTTAGGTCCAACTAGTGAATAATTCCTTCAAAGGGATCAAGTACCTGCGGCTGAACACGCTGGCGTCCCTCGGCTACGCCGTGGTGGTGATAGACGGGCGAGGCTCATGCCAGAGAGGCCTTAAGTTTGAGGGAGCTCTTAAGAACCAAATGGTGAGTTCTCGTCCTGTTACCTCCAGGCGGTGGATCTGGCCTCTTGTCTCGCCGTTCAGACGAGTAAAATGTTATATTATTATCCTACTGGCATGTGTTACCTTATTGCAGGGGTGTCAAACTCAATTTCATTGAGGGCCGCATTAGCATTGTGGTTGCCCTCAGGGGGCCGGGTGGGTGTGGCCAGGGTGGTTGCGGCCTACTGGGTGGGCATGAAGGGAGTGGGTGTGTCCTACTGGGTGGGCGTGGCCAGCTCTACATCATTTGCATCAAGGGTGCCTGTGGGGGCCTGGGCAGGAGAGGGACAGATCTGAGGGTCTTTGGCAGAAGGGGGTAGGACCAGGGCAAGTGCCAAAGCATGGTCCACTGGAGGAGCCTCACCGTTCCTCTCAGGCCATGTGGAGGGGGGGGGCTGGATGGTGGCGTGGGCTGCCGGGAGCCCCGGACAGCAGAGGTCAAGCGCCCAGCCTGGCCCTCGAGCACCTGCGGCACCAAGCCCAGCCCCACTTCCCCAAGGGGGTGGCCAGCTGCACTTACCTCCTCCTCAAGCTGCTGCTGCTGTTGTGCTTGCTCTCCTTAGCCAGGTTGCTTATGATGGGGATGAGGGCAAAGTCAGAGGGAGGCCCATTCCCTCTCCATGGGAGGAGACCCGGCTTTGTATCCAAAGCTTCCTTAGCACTAGGATGGGAGACCCCCAGGATAGGCCAGGAGGAGGGGGCAAGGGGGTGGTGGTGAAAGAGCAGCAGGGCAGGACTAAGGTCCCTCAGTCCCTCCCTCTCCTTCTTTCCTTCTTTCCTTCCTAAGTACAGAGTGGTGGGAACATATTTGAGACGAGGGAGGGAGAAAAACAGGCAAGAAACGCAGCTGGAGAGGTGTCACCCTTCGTGAGGAATGAAGAAATGCACCATCGCCTGGAAGTGGCCAGCACATGGCCCTCACCTACTTCACAAATCTGGCTTGGTGGGCTCTGGGGGATGCCATGAGCAGCGTGAGAGTCAACGTTACCTGCACAATGCCGCCCAGTCCCCAGCCTGTCCGGTTTCGGCAGGCAGCCGGGCGCTTTCCTCACAGCACCGAGAGGTTGAGCCAGGCGGCGTGAATCTGAAAAGCGTGACGCCGCCCAGCCCCCAGCCTGCCCGGTTTTGGCAGGCAGCGAGGCGCTTTCCTCACAGCACCAAGAGGCTGAACCGAGCGGCGCAAATCCCAAAAGAAGCGCGATGCTGCCCAGCCCCTAGTCTGCCCTATCTCGGCAGACAGCGGAGCGCTCTCCTCACAGCGCCGAAAGGCTGAGGCAGGTGGCGTGAATCCGAAAACAAGCGCAAGGCCGCCCAGCCCCCAGCCTGCTCAATTTCAGCAGGCAGCGGGGCGCTCTCCTCACAGCGCCGAGAGGTTGAGCCGGGAGGTGCGAAGCTCGCCAGCTTTGCACCTTGCTGCCTGCTGAAACTGGGCAGCCTGGGGGCTAGGCAGCATTGCACTTCTCATCAGATTCGCGCCACCCGGCTCAGCTCTTGGCGCTGTGAGGAGAGCGCCCTGCTGCCTGCCAAAACTGTCCCTCCATCCAGTGGTGGGATTCAAATACCTGAACAACTGGTTCCCTTATTGGATGCAGGCCTGGGCCTCCGAGGCCTAGAATGGACTTCTGGAAGTGGCATCCATGCACTTCCGGCAGGCCGTTCTAGGCCTGGGACCCCTTCTCCAGGCCTCTGAGGCCTAAAACGGACTTCTGGAAGTGGCATCCACGCACTTCCGGCAGGCCGTTCTAGACCTGGGAGGCCTCCAGGCCTCTGAGGCCTAGAACGGACTTCTGGAAGTGGCATCCACGCACTTCCGGCGGGCAGTTCTAGGCTGGTGAAGCCCCGTCCAGGCCTCTGAGGCCTAGAACAGACTTCTGGAAGTGGCATCCACGCATTTCTGGTGGGCCGTTCTAGGCCTGGGACGCCTCCTCCAGGCCTCTGAGGCCTAGAACAGATTTCTGGAAGTGGCATCCACGCACTTCCGGCGGGCAGTTCTAGGCTGGTGAAGCCCCCTCCAGGCCTCTGAGGCCTAGAACGGACTTCCAGAAGCGGTGTGCATTCAGCTGGTTCTTCGAACTCAGCAAAATTTCGCTACCGGTTCTACTGTACCAATGCAAACCAGCTGAATCCCACCCCTGCCTCCATCGATTTTTGCTCGATGGCTGTCAGAAAATGAAGGAAAAAAAAGAAGATGTTGATAGATTAAAAATTGTTACCCAAATCCCTTTCCTTGCCTTGTATATACACCTCTCGGTCTAGGTTCCTGCTTTAGCAGGAGGTTGGACTAGAAGACCTCCAGGGTCCCTTCCAGCTCTTTGTAAGTCTGTTATTCTTTCTTTTTTTCCTCTGCCATCCCCTTCAGGGCCAGGTGGAGATCGAGGACCAGGTTGAAGGTTTACATTACGTCGCGGAGAAATACGGGTTCATCGACCTCAGCCGCGTTGCCATCCACGGCTGGTCGTACGGAGGTTTCCTTTCCCTTGTGGGGCTGATTTACAAGCCCCATGTTTTCAAGGTGAGCCTTCCAGGCTGGCTGGCTGGGCCCCCGCTCAAAAGGTAAAAGGTTTCCCCTGTGCAGCCGTGTCCAACTCTAGGGGCTGGTGGCCCATCTCCATTTCCTAGCCGAGGGAGCCACTGCTGTCCAAAGACATTTTCCGTGGTCATTCCACGGTTGCTGGAATTGGGCATGTCTAGTTTAATGAAGAGAAGGACCAGGGGGGACATGATGGCAGTCTTCCAATATCTCCGGGGCTGCCCCAAAGAAGAGGGAGTCAAGTTATTCTCCAAAGCGCCTGAAGGCAGGACAAGAAGCAACGGATGGAAACTAATCCAGGAGAGAAGCAACCTAGAATTAAGAAGAAACTTCCTGACAGTGGGAACAATTAACCAGCAGAACAACCTGCCTCCAGAAGCTCTGAATGCTGGAGGTTTTTAAGAAGAGGCTGGACAACTATTTGTCTGGAATGGTATATTTCCTGCCTGAGCAGGGGTTGGACTAGAAGACCTGCAAGGTCCCTTCCAACTCTGTTATTCTATTCTACTCTATTCTGTTCTGTGTTCTATATTCTGTTCTCTATTCTGTTATCTTCTATTCTGTATTCTATTGTGTTCTCTATTCTCTGTTCTATTCTATGTTCTGTTTTATATTCTATTCTATGTTCTATTCTATGTTCTGTTCTTTCTATTCTATAGTCTGTTCTGTTCTATTCTCTATTCTATTCTGTTCTATGTTCTGTTCTCTATTATGTTCTATTCTCTATTCTATTGTGTTCTCTGTTCCCTGTTTTATTCTGTTCTGTTCTATATTCTATTCTATGTTCTGTTCTCTGTTCTGTTCTTTCTATTCTATAGTCCGTTCTGTTCTGTTCTATTCTCTATTCTATTCTGATCTATGTTCTGTTCTCTGTTCTGTTCTATTCTCCATTATGTTCTGTGTTCTGTTCTATATTCTGTTCTATGTTCTGCTATTTTTTCTATTTTCTATTCTGTTCTGTGTTCTGTTCTGTTCTCTGTTCTGTTCTCTGTTCTATTCTTTCTATTCTATAGTCTATTCTGTTTTATGTTCTATTCTGTTCTTTTCTATATTCTGTTCTCTTCCATTCTATTCTATATTCTGTTCTATACTATATTCTGTTCTGTTTGGTTCTATTCTACTCTGCTCTGCTCTGCACCTACTCCTATTCCATTCCTGTGGCCAGTATGGCTATACGCCAAGGCGCACAGAATGCTGTTATCTTCCCATCGAAGTGGTAGCTATTTATCTACTTACATTTTGCATGCTTTCTTTTTTATCAAGGGGAATAAAAAAAACAGAAAAACATACACCCAGTGGATGGAATTAGCACCGATGGCTAAATTGACTGTTTTTATAAAAGAAAAGAATTTAAGTACTTTTGTTTCTACTTGGAAACCACTTCTGGACTTTGTGCTTGAGGTGGAAAAAAAAGGACGCCATGATTATGGGTTTTATTTATAAGATTGATTTGCCGATATAGAAATGGCTAGTTCATATTACTACAGAAATATGGAATAGCCAAAGTGGATCTCTGGTAATAATAATAATAAAGTTGGAAGGGACCTTGGAGGTCATCTAGTCCAACCCCCTGCTCAGGCAGGAAACCCTATACTATTTCAGACAAATGGCCGTCCAGTCTCTTCTTAAAAACTTCCAGTGTTGGAGCATTCACTGCTTCTGGAAGCAGGTAGTTCCACTGGTTAATTGTTCTAATTGTCAGGAAGTTTCTCCTTAGTTCTAGGTTGCTTCTCTCCTTAGTTAGTTTCCACCCGTTGCTTCTTGTCCTGCCTTCCGGCACTTTGGAGGACAGCTTGACTCCCTCTTCTTTGGGGCAGCCCCTGAGATTTTATTTCATTCGCCTCCCGTAGGTCGCCATAGCAGGAGCCCCCGTCACCGTCTGGATGGCTTACGATACCGGGTACACGGAGCGGTACATGGATGTCCCGGAGAACAACCAGCAAGGCTACGAAGCAGGCTCGGTGGCCCTGCATGTCGAGAAACTCCCTAATGAGTGAGTATTATGCAATATCAGATGGGGTGGGGGGGGCGTAGAGGAAAGGGTGTAAGGGTGAGGCCCCCTCAACCAGATTCACAATATCGTCACTTGACTATGAGCCAGCTGTGTGCAGCAGCAACTAAAAAAGCTAATACAATCCTGGGTTGTATAAACAGAGGCATAGAATCGAGATCACGCGAAGTATTAGTACCGCTTTATAAAGCCCTAGTGAGACCACACCTGGGATATTGCAGCCAATTTTGGTCACCGTATCACAAAAAATGTTGAGAGTTTGGAAAAAAAATTCACAAGAGGAGCAATTAAGATGATCAAAGGCCTGGAGACCAAAACATACGATGAACGGCTACGGGACTTGGGTTTGGCTAGTCTAAAGAAAAGAAGAAATAGGGGTGACATGATAGCAGTGTTCCAGTATTTGAGGGGCTGCCACAAGGCAGAGGGGGTCAGCTTGTTCACTAGAGCACCAGAGGGGAAGGACGAGAAACAATAGTTGGAAACTGGTCAAGGAGAAAAGCAACCTGGTATTAAGGAGAAACTTCATGACATTGAGGACAATCAACCAATGGAACAGCTTTGCCTTCAGAAATCGTGGGCACTCCATCGCTGGAGATCTTTAAGAAGAGACTAGACAATCACCTGTCTGAGACGGTATAGGTTCTCCTGCTTGAGCAGGGGGCTGGACTAGAAGACCTCCAAGGTCCCTTCCAGCTCCTATGCTATTCTATTCTATTCTATTCCATTCCATTCCATTCCATTCTATTGCATATTCTATTTATTCTATTCTATTTATTTTATATTCTATTCCATTCCATTCCATTCTATTTATTCTATATTCTATTCCAGTGGTGGCAAACCTATGGCACACGTGCCAGAGGCGGCACTCAGAGCCCTCTCTGTGGGCACGCGTGCTGTTGCCCCAGCAGAGTTCGCCAGAGTAGCGAGCACATGGCGTTTGGAAGTGACAGGGCAGGAAGACAGCGAGCAAGCGGTGTTGGCCCCCTGAGGTTGCCCCAGAGATGGTGAGGGACTGGCCCCGGCCAGGCTCATCCAGTCTGCCGTGACCACTGCAGCCACGCCCACCCAGTGGGCCACACCCCCCCCGAGGGCATTACAATCCTGATGCAGCCCTGGCACTTTGCGATAAATAAGTGGGTTTTGGATTGCGGTTTGGGCACTCGGTCTCTAAAAGGTTCGCCATCACTGTTCTGTTCCACTCCATTCCATTCTATTTATTCTATATTCTATTCCAGTGATGGCGAAACTTTTAGAGACCGAGTGCCCAAACTGCAACCCAAAACCCACTTATTTATCGCCAGGTGCCAGGTGGGCGTGGCTCACTGGGTGGCCGTGGCTGTAGTGGTCATGGCAGATTGGGTGGGTGTGGCCAGAGTGGGCATGATCACCTCGATGTTGCTTATGGGGAGGGACGCCTGTGGGGGCCGGGCAGGGTTGGGGGAGATCCATGGGGTCTCTGGCAGGTGGGGCGGTGGACAGGAGACTCGTCCTGCGGGGTGAGGCTGGGCAAGGCGAGGTAGGGCGGGAATGCCATTGTCACAGGGCAAGGTGAGGCAGGGGCCGGGGCGGCTGCTGCCTGACACCATCGGCCCCTGCACACAGAGGCCAGCGAGCGCATGGATGCTGGGATGCATCCGGCCATGTAGGACCTCGGCGAGTTAGCGGGCAGCTGGTTGAAGAGGGACAGTTGGTATCTCCGGGGCATGGCGCACGTGCCCACAGAGAGGGCTCTGAGTGCCGCCTCTGGCACGCGTGCCATAGGTTCGCCACCACTGTTCTGTTCTATTCCATTCCATTCCATTTTATATTCTATTCTATTCTATTCCATTCCATTCTATTTATTCTATATTCTATTCTACTCTACTCTACTCCATCCTATTCCATTCCATTCCATCTCCCCATTGAGATGGACAGTTCGATGTGGTGATGCCAAGCTCAGCGTTCAGTGCCAGATGGAAAGCTTGCCTTGGATATTCGTACGCCTTTCTGTGCAAATAGTCCTTTGATTTACAACTTTCATTTAATGACTGTTCCAAGTCAGAACGGCACTGAAAAAAAGTGACCTGTGACAATTTTTCACACTTAGGCCATTGCAGCAAGAAAGGTCGTAGAATGGGGCAGATGTTTCACTTAGCAACTGCCTCGCTTAGCCACACAGAAATTTAGGTCGCAATTGTGGTTAACCTTTCGTTAGGAGCATCAGATGTCCTGCCTTCCCCCCCCCCCAAAAAAAACCCACCCACCACCTTGGAAAAGATAGTGAGAAAGGAATAGTGCTCCAGAGTGCTGGGTTCAAACGACACACCGAACCTGGAATTTAACCCCTTGCCTGGCTTTGCTTGACACGTGATCTCATCGGACTAGATTCACAAAACGCGCAGAGTTGCCCCAAAAGTCAAACAGAAGCTTTGCTTTCGGTGTTAATTTTGTTTGTTTCTTTGATTTATTCAGTGTTTATGCCGCCCGTCTCCTCCACAAGGCGACTCTTTGGATTTTAACCGACCTGGTTAAAAACCCAAAGTGGTAGGATTTGGAAATTACACTAAGCCCAAAGCAAATAAACCACGTTGTGGCTTAGCTTGAAGGCGGACCCTTTCGAAACGTATATTGCATGCTTTGTGCGGTGCGAACACGGCCTCTGATTTTTCCGCACCTCACCTCTCCTGCTGTTTTCCCAACGTTTCACCAGTGTCGCTGGTAATTTGGTGCTTAGCCCAGGTGCGCCCATCCAGGTGCTTTTCCATCAGTCTTATTGTCAAGGCTGCCATTCTGCTAAGCTACGCATCACAAGCTGACAGCTTGACATTAGTAATGGGGATGGAGCAGTGGGGGGGGGTTAGGGACATAGGGAGGGAACCGAGAGGAATCGAAACCGGTCCCATGGGATGCATCAGCTGTCTCAAGGACACACCAAAGGAATGCAGAAGTGCACAGAGACAGGGACCGTTTCCCAAACAATTTGTTAACGCCTAATTGACCGATGACCAGGGCTTGGCTGGGGAAAAGGGATCGTGGGTGGATCTCCTTAATTCAAGCTTTTTTGGGTTGGTTTCTTAACGTTTCGTTACTAGGCTAGGTAACGTCTTCAGCAGAGTTTGTTAGGGGATGTGTGATGACCCAGGGCACAGCACAGAGGCAATGCAGTCAGCTGGCAATTGAAACACTTCTTTTATTGCTCCAAATTTTCCCCAAATGCTCCCACGATTGCTGGCAAGCCTCCAACAAAAGAACACACACACACCCCTTCAGCCAACTCTGGCTGAAAGTAGGTTCAAATACAGTCTGCTTAGCATAAGTGCGCAAGGCCATAGAGATAACAAAGAAGAAGACATAAACTTAACGAGTCTGTTTGAATCCAAGCTTGCCTGAACAGTTTTCAAAAGAGACAAGCCGAAATACGGTCTGAGGTCTTTAAACATTCAAGTAACGTGATCAGTCAATCCAATAGTTCGAGTTTCCAAACAGAAGTCACAGAACAAGAGATTAGCAACAATACACCAAACTCCAAGGAATCAGCGTTTGTTCCCGACAAATGCCTCTCCCCACAGCATCTCCTTAAATCTCCGTCTCCAGGTGTGCCTCGTGGAGAGGGGCGGGACGCTCTCCTCCCAAGTAGCTGAGTCTGCCTGCGTTGTTCCCTCCTCTCCACTCTCCATGCTTTACGATCAGGAGGGGGCGGCCCTTGCTCAAGGGGGCGGCCCTTGCTCATCGCCTGAACTCTGTCTCTTGTGTTCCTCCTGTCCCACTCCTGAAGGGCCCTGGCCTGCTTCGGCCTGCCCTTCCCCACATTCCTCTGAAACCACAGACCCCTCCACCTCCACAGGGTCCTGTTCCAGCTCATTTCCTCTGCAGATTCAGACTCTGATGGAGGCATGACAGGATGTCAGTCTTCAACCTTTTGGGCACCAGGGACCAGTTCTGTGGAGAAAGGCTTTCCCACTGACCAGAGAATGCATGGCTTTCCGTGCTGCCTGTATCCCATGGATGGGGCTTTGCTTGTTTGTGCGGACCGGTTGCTGGCATGCCGTGGTCCAGTACTGGTCCACTGACCAGGGGTTGGGGACCCCTGCTTTATAAGATCTTCAGGTGTGGGTATATCAAGTGAGGGTCTGTGATGGGTCCAGTGTGAGTCTTGTGATGGGGAGGTTACTCAAGTCAAGGTCATCGGGAGGTCAACTGGTGTGGGGGCTTGCCCGGGATGGTTGAGGGTCAGTGCTGTCTCTGGTTGATTGTACAATTGATTTGGATCCTGAGGCGTTCGTAGGCTGACTGTAGGTCAGTGTGTCTGTTGATGGAATTGCTCATGGTGTGGCAGGTGTTCTATCCCAGACTATGTGAGTCCTTGTTAACTCACAAGCCCTTTTTTAACAAGTAGGCTGGAAATGCAGGAAAAACAAACCCCTTTTATTAATTAGGTACAGACCTGCAAAATGTCCCAAAAGCAGAGGCAAACAGAACACGATGCAAATGGAGAATTGTCCCAAGGCAAACAGAACAGGATTCAAACAGAGAATTGTTCACAGGCAAGGCGAACAGAACCTGATTCCATGAAACTTAAGTCCTTTGCAAACGGTTGCCTTCAGCAACCAGCATCGCACACACCTTCCCTTTTTATTAAGTGGCTTCTTAATGCCTTCTCCTCCTTTGGAGTCGCCCCATTGCCTCCCTCTGTCCTGCTCTTGTTGCTAGTCTGCGTTTGCAAGCATCTATGATATCTTCCAGCTGTGAGTCCTCAGAGTCTGACTCAGCTTCCCCACACAGCTGGGCCTCTGCCTGAGCACGAGTGGAGGGGCCAGGTTCTTCATCAGATTGTAAGTCCTGGAGCTCATCAGCGTCTTGCTCTGACTCTGATGGCTCTCCAGGCCCCTCCTCCTCCGATTCCCCAGACTCAGCTGCCGGGTCCACTGGCTGGCACGGACTCACAACACCAGACTTTGATGAACTCACAAGCGTGGCCGACGGTTTTTGTGCTGCTCCAATCGAACCGATGCTACTTGGTGTCGGCCTGGGATGCTAATTGCATCCTTTGTGCGCGAAAATCTCAGATCCAGCTTCGCCTCTTCTGTAACCACTTCAGCTTTAGTAAAGTATGTTTTGGGCTAATCGTGGGCCGGGAGTCTTTCTTTCCTAACTGATCAAGCAGGGACGGTTGACACTTAGCCTGGATCATTTCTCTCTCTCTACTTCCCAGGCCCAACCGCTTGCTGATTCTCCACGGGTTTCTGGATGAAAACGTGCACTTTTTCCATACCAGTTTCTTGATCTCCCAACTAATCCGGGCTGGGAAACCGTATCAGCTACAGGTAGGTAAGAGTGCTGGAAATGAGAAGGGCATGGTGCTGCCCGCTGGCATCAGAGGAGAATTGCAGCTGGTAAGGTGCAGGTCTCTGCCAGCTAAGGTACTGGTATTTATCCTTCCTCCCTCCCTCCCTCCCTCCCTCTCTTCCTTCCTTCCGTCCTTAGAAGGGAGGGGGTGCTGCAGAAAGGGAGAGGGGGAGGACGAAGACGGTTATGACAATGACTGCGGGGTCCTTGGTGCTCCCTGAAGTTGGTTGTTTTCTTGCAGACATTTCATGACCCAACTGGGTAACATTATCAGTGCTTCAAGGGGGGGGGGAGATTCACCAGACATGCCCTATCATTGTTGGTGGGAGTGTTTTTGGGGATTCCTTGCTTGGGCTGTTCTTTACTGTTAGCTCCAGTTGGTAGTGCAAGCCACAGACTCAAAGCAAAACGCCACTCCTTTCTAGCCCTGATGGTGTTACCTAATGAATTGAAGTTCACACATCTGGATTCACGGTTCCTAAACTGAAAAGAATTTACAAGCTGGAATTCTTGTATTACTTTCACATTTCCCCTTAATAAACCTTGCTAAAGAAAACTTTGCAAAATTCATGAGTGGGAAGGACAGTTATCAAAACTGACACGCCTCTTTAGAATTGATCGGCCTCTCTAAGCGGTTTACAGAGTCAGCATTTCACACACACACACCCCACACACACGCACATACAATCTGGGTCTTCCTTTTACCAACCTTGGAAGGATACAAGGCTGAGTCAACCTTGAACCCCTCAGGATTGAACTGCTGGCAGTGGGCAGAGCGAGCCTGCAATGTTGCATTCTAACCACTGCCGCCACCACGGCTTGGCACCGTTAGACCAGGGCTTTTCAACCTTTTCACCCATTGTACCACTTTTAGGATATGGCAACATCCGAGTACCACCAGTCGCCTAGCAAGGTGTCAAAAACTTGATGACCCAAAAAAAGGAAAAAAGTGATAAAGCACAGGTAGTCCTCAACTTACAACAGTTCGCTTAGTGACTCTTAGAAATTACAATGGCACTGAAAAAAGTGCCCCCCAAGCCACAGCCGAGCAAGACACCTGCCTGCCCACCCAGCTGCGCTCTTCCTCCTGTCCGAGGTTTTCATTGTTGGCAGTGGGAGTGGGTGGGGGGTGTTTGGTTTTTATTCCCCCCGTCTGCTGGGTGGTTGCAGCAGGTTTTGGTCACTTCACATAACCCTGGGACACTGTGACTGTCATAAATATAAATCGGTTGCCAAGCATCTGAATGTAAATCACAAGACCCTGGAGATGCTGCAACATTCCAGCTGATCGGTGCTTCTTCTGGGCTCAGCGGAAGCGCCAGGATCAGCACCGAGCTCCAGCTGGATCCTGGCGCTGATCCTGGCGCTTCCACTGAGCCCTGACAGCCCCGAAGAAGAGCTGATCCTGGCGCTTCCGCTGAGCCCTGACAGCCCTGCAGCTCCAGCCATCTCTCGCTCAGGCTTGTGCGGTGTTGCCACCGGTTCAGCCCATTCCCCTCCCCTGCTACTTTTCTAGGATGGTCGCATATCACCTGCCAGGTGCCAATGTACCACAGGTGGTACCCGTACCACTGATTGAAAAGCCCTGCGTTAGACCTTTGGCCCATCCACCATTGGCCTGCATCTTGCCTCCAGGACTTACTCTGCAACTGAAGTCCATACATCTTAAAGTTGCTAAAGTTGGGAAACACTGGTGTAGAATGAGAAGATGAAGTGTTGGTGTCTTAGCTAGGGCAGACCCATCACAATAAGGGCGGGGGTGTCGTGCCAGGATGTCCGGCATGTCTGGAGCACCCTGCAATCTCTTTGGTGGCATCCTAAAGCTGTAATGGCACAGTGATTGGAATGGAATGGAATAGAGAATTGAATAGAAGAGAATGGAAGAGTAGAGTAGAATAGAATAAGGAATGAAAGAATGGAATAGAATAGAATAGAATAGAATAGAATAGAATAGAATAGAATAGAATAGAATAGGTTGGAAGGGACCTTGGCGGTCTTCTAGTCCAGCCCCCTGCTCACGCAGGAGAACCTGCACCATTTCAGACAGGTGACTGTCTAGTCTCTTCTTAAAATCCTCCAGTGATGGAGCATTTCAGGCTGACTCTGCCAACTGCCAACAGTTCAAATCTCACCTGCTCCAGGTAGACTCAGCCTTCCATCCTTCCAAGGTCGGTAAAACGAAGACCCAGATTGCTTGGGGGGAAACGGGCTGACTCTGTAAACCGCTTAGAGAGGGCTGTAAAGCACTGTGAAGCGCTCTATAAGTCTATTGCTAAATGCTTCCCCAAGCTAGGAGATTTTAGGATCCCAGCAGTTGGAGAAGAGGTCGGTTCCAGCATGGGACAACCTATGCTAGATAGATGATGAACGAGGCTGAGAACAAAGGGATGGGGGTTTCTCCCTATGGCCTTGGTTGTCTCTCCCTCCCCTCCTGCAGCTAGGTCCAAGGGCAGGGGTCTTCAAACTTGGCCCTTTTATGACTTGTGCACTTCAACTCCTAGAATTCCTCAGCCAGGCACGCTGGCTGAGGAATTCTGGGAGTTGAAGTCCACTCTTAAAGTCTATATCAGGGGTCTTCAAACTTGGCCCTTTTATGTCTTGAGGACTTCAACTCCCAGAATTCCTCAGCCAGGCACGCTGGCTGAGAAATTCTGGGAGTTGAAGTCCACTCCTCTTCAAGTCTATATCAGGGGTCTTCAAACTTGGCCGTTTTATGACGTGTGGACCTCAACTCCCAGAATTCCTCAGCCAGGCACGCTGGCTGAGGAATTCTGGGAGTTGAAGTCCACTCCTCTTCAAGTCGATATCAGGGGTCTTCAAACTTGGCCCTTTTATGACGTGTGGACCTCAACTCCCAGAATTCCTCAGCCAGGCACGCTGGCTGAGGAATTCTGGGAGTTGAAGTCCACCAGTCATAAAAGGGCCAAGCTTGAAGACCCCTGTCCAAAGGGGACCCCCGCCCTCCTCCGTGGCTGTCCGGAAGGGTCCGACTCTTACACCATTCTCTTCCCTCCCCTTCACCCGCAGATCTATCCCAACGAGCGACACAGTATTCGTTGCCCTGAGTCTGGCGAGCACTACGAAATCACGCTGCTGCACTTTCTTCAAGAATACCTCTGAGAGGGCGGACGGGCCCTCCCTCCTCCTGCTCTCCCCCCCCCTCCCCTCGCCGTGGACGCCAACACGGTTCCTCTCTCTGCTCCTGCTGCTTCTCTTCAGCCACGGGGCAGCCTTCGAACGCAGAGCACAAAACCCGCCTCGGGGGGGGGTGATGGTGGCGGCACGTCTCTCCTTGCGCTGGGCTCCGGGGAGGCTCTCCTGCTTTCCAGATGGCGCAGCTCTAACGTGTTTTTTTTTCCCCAGCCTCCCTTATGGCTTTTTCTTAGTCTGTCCCCCCCCAAGTCCCCCCCCCAAGTATTTGCTGCTACTTTCTTTGTGCTGGAAATAAAAGACGGGCAGTTCCCCCCCCCCATCCCACCTTGCCCCTCGGACTGTCTGCCTGTCTCTCTCTCTCTTACTCGCTAGAGTTCTCTGTGTGTGTCTCCACCAGCCTCCCCCCCCCCTACTCCCACTTTCCACCTTGTTGCTGGCTTGGCTCCCCCCCCCCTTCGGATGCAGGAGATCCTTTTCCTGACTTTTTAGGTGGGCTCGGCGGGCAAGGGGAGAGGAAAGGACGAGGGGGGAAAGAAAGAGGAAAATTGACTGGAAGAGGAACTGGGGGGGGGTTGTCAGGGGTCTCTATTTATAAGCATGTGGTGCTGCTGTCTCTTGGATCCCCCCCCCCGCCCCATCCTTTCCCACCCCCACCCCTCCAGCATGTTTGAAAGCTATCCGGAAACCAGGCATAACGGTGGCTGAGTTTGGTTTGGTTTTTTTTTTTTTTTTTCCTTTTTCTTTAGCAAAATTAGCTTTTCTTTAGCCTTGTGAGTTTTATTTATGGAAGAATCTTTTTTTTTTTTTCCTTCTTTCTGGTTGTGTCCTAATCTCTCTCCTTGTCCCGTCTCCTCGTCCTGCCACTGAGGGAGGGGGTCCCTGTTAAAATAGGCATTGCTTCAGTTCTCTGCCGGTCAGCGACTGTATTTTTTTTTTGGTCTCCCCCCCCCACCTCCCAACCTTCCCGCGGATGTCGCTTGTCCGTTCGCTTTGCGGTCGCCCTCTGCCCTACGTCTCCCCAATGTACCCACTCAGCGTCAACAGCAGTCCGGGGAGAGATCCGGGGGTCTCCACTTGGCGTTTGCCCCTCTGGAGAAACTCCTGCCCCCCACCCACCCACCCCGGCCCGACCGTCCGTTCCTGCTTCCCCCTGGGTGGGGCGAAACGGAAAGCGAGAAGGAAACGTTCGGCCTGGCCACGGAAGAAGAAGAAGAAAAAAAAAAAGTCTGAACCACACAACCACACGCAAAAACAACAACTCTCCTCCCTCCCCATCCCCCAGTCTCTTTAAGTGCGTATTATGAAAAGAAAATATTTTTATGGATTCTTATTCTTTTATAATTATGAGTGGTAAGATGTAGTGACTCATTAAACTATTGGAACGAGGCAATACGGTTGCTTCCCGCCTGGTGTGACTTTTTTTTTTTTTTAATAACCTGTGTCTTATTTATATTTTTATTTTTATTTTAAATTTGCAGAATCGCCCGCTTGGGAATTAATGGGATGATGATGATGATGCTAATAATAATAATAATAATAACTAGAGCACCACTTGAACACCATTGGCATTGACAAATTCGCTATTAGTCAATTGCAAAAGGCGTTACTAGGAACTGCTTCCATCAAACATCCACATTTGCCTATCCCAGGTCCTGGGTAAGGACTCGATAGGTAGACAAAATGCCAAATCCAGTCTGAACATCTGGCTGACTGTGCGATGATCAATAATAATCATAATCTGCAACGTAACACCCCAGACTTAACAATTGTCGATAAGAAAGACAAAAAAGTCTGGATAGTGGACGTGGCAGTGCCTGGAGATAGCAGAATAGAAGAGAAAGAACTGGAGAAGATAACAAAATACAAAGACCTACAAATAGAAATAGAAAGACTGTGGCAAAAGCACGCAAGGGTAGTACCAATAGTCATAGGCTCCTTGGGTGCAATCCCAAAACAACTGGAGCACCACTTGAACACCATTGGCATTGACAAATTCGCCATTGGTCAATTGCAAAAGGTGGCCTTACTAGGAACTCCTTCTATCCTGCGACGAGATCTGTAATACCATCAAACATCCACATCTGCCCGTCCCAAATCCTTGGGAAGGATTCGATAGGTAGACAAAAATGCCAAATCTAGTCTGAGCATCTGGCTGACTGCAATGATCCATAATCATAATAATGTTGGAAGGGACCTTGGAGGTCATCTAGTCCAATCCCCTGCTCAGGCAGGAAAACCTAGATCATTTCAGACAAATGGCTGTCCAGTCTCTTTTTTAAAAAAAAAAATCCAGTGTTGGAGCATTGACAACTTCTGGAGGCAAGGAGTTCCATTGGTTAATTGTTCTAGCTCAGTGGTTCTCAACCTGTGGGTCGGGACCCCATTTGTGGTCGAACGACCATTTCATGGGGGTCGCGAAACAAGGCTGTCCACCATTGTTTTTCCCCCTTTGGCCACACCCCTGGCACCTGGGATGTATAAGTGGTTGGGGGTCACCACAACATGGGGAACTGTATTATGGGGTCACAGCATTAGAAAGGTTGAGAACCACTGGTCTAGCTGTATGGGCAGAAGGGTTTGGGGGCTGAATTTTTTTTCTAGTTTTGACTTCGTTGGGAATGCAGGAATGAAAAAGAACCACTGTTGGTAGCCCTTGACTTGCGACCACCACAGAGCTCCAGAATTTCTGTTGCTAAGCGAGAAATTTGTTAAGGTTTGCCCTGTTTTATGACTTTTCTAGCCACCCGGTTGTTAAGTGAATCTGGCTTCCCCCGTTGATTTTGTCAGGTCACAAGAGGGAAGTCACGTGACACACACACCCTGGGGACCTTGCGACCATCATAGACATGAACCAGTGTCCAAGTCTCCGAATTTTGATCAGGTGACTGCGGGGATGCTGCAACGGTCGTAAGTGTGAAAAATAGTTACAAGTCATTTTTCAGTGCTGTCATAACTTCGAACGGTCACTAAACGGACTGTCATAAGTCGAGGACTCCCTGTACTCCAGTTATATTATTTTAGAACACGAGTACAGGGAGTCCTCGACTTATGACAGTTCATTTAGTGAGTTCGAAGTTACGACAGCACTGAAAAAGTTCATTTAGCAACAGTTATGACAGCACTGCAAAAAGTGAAGTATGACCAGTCCATCCTCACACTTAACGGCCGTCGCTGCATCCCCACAGTCACTTGATCAAAACTTGGGTCCTCGGCAACTGACGTGGACTGTTGTACGTCGAGGACTACTGTACTTAGAAACCAGATGCTTTCCTTAACTGCTTTAAGGTAGTGTTCCACTTAACAACAGGTCACTTTAGTAACCATTTGAAGTTGCAGCTGCCCTCCCCAGGGCTACTTGCCAGCTTCCTTCCCATTTACCATCCTGTGGTACATAATTTGCGACATTTTCTGCCAGGAGCACGCATTTTACTTCCCCATTTGCTGACCCTGAGTGCACTTAATGACTGACACACACACACACGTCATAAAACTGGATGCAGTCCCATGGTGATCACTTAATGACCAGTACAACATGCAACCATCATTCCTGGCTTGATTATAATCGTAAGTTGGGGACTCTTGCCACTGCAATTTTCATGTTTCTCTCTCTCCTCCCTAGAAGCCTGAAGATCTGAAATGGTATAGGGTTTCCTGCCTGAGCAGGAGGTTGGACTAGATGACCTCCAAGGTCCCTTCCAACTTTATTATTGTTATTACTATTATTATTATTATCATCATCATCATCTTTCTAGCCCCCCCTGCTCAAGAACAGGCAAAACGTGCTTAGGTTGAACTTCTCCCCACAACTGGCCTGTAGAAATCCAGACAAACCAAGACGGGATCCTGATTAAACTATTTGGCTTTTCTAGCGATATTCTCAGGAATTGTTATATGGCTTCTGAGCTGGAGAGCCAATGCCCTGACCAGCGTAGTTATTTCAAAACGACTGTGGAGTCCTGTGACTTGTAAATTTCGTCACTGACAAACCTTGATCAAGACTCAAGACTGGTGTTTCTCAACCTGGGCGATAGTTTAAGATACACAGTACAGAATAACAGAATTGAAAGGGACCTCGGAGATCTTCTAGTCCCACCTGCTGCTCAGGCAGGAAACCCTATGCCAGGGGTAGGCAACCTTGGCCCTTTTATGACTCGTGGACTTCAACTCCCAGAATTGCTGAGCCAGCCATGCTGAGGGGAAAGGGAGAGGTTTCCAAGCTGAGCCATGCTGGCTCAGGAATTCTGGGAGTTGAAGTCCACGAGTCATAAAAGAGCCAGGGTTGCCAACCACTGGCCTATGCCATGTTCAAACTCAATGCCTGAATCTAAGCCAGCCTTTCTTGATTATCTGCCTTCAATCTCTTTTGGGACTACAGCTTCAAAATTCTTCCATCATGCTGGCTGGGAAATTTAGGAAATATAATTCTAAAGCAGGGGTCTTCAAACTTGGCCCTTTTATGACTGGTGGACTTCAACTCCCAGAATTCCTGAGCCAGCATGGCTCAGCTTAGAAACCTTTCCCTTTCCCCTCAGCATGGCTGGCTCAGGAATTCTGGGAATTGAAGTCTACCAGTCCTAAAAGAGCCAAGTTTGCCTGCCTACCCCTACCCTATGCCATTCCACACAAGTGGCTGTCCAATTTCCTCTTAAAAACCTCCAGTGATTGAGCATTCACAACTTCTTGTGGCAAGCTGTCCCACTGATTAATTGTTCTCACTGTCAGGAAGTTTCTCCTTAGTTCCAGGTTGCTTTTCTCCTTGATTAGTTTCCGTCCGTTGCTTCTCGTCCTGCCTTCAGGGGCTTTGGAGAATAGGCTGGAGAATTCTGGGAGTTGAAGTCCACACATCTTAGAAAGTTGTTTTGAGGTTGGGAAAACATTGCTTAAGAGAAGCCAAAAATAAAAAAATAAAATTGTGTAGGCCCTTGACTTCTCCATAAGGGAAGTCCAAAATGAGCCAAGAACTTAGGCCGCAAAAACCGGTGCTTCAAAGCCAGTTTGTAGTTTGAAATTGTCACTCGCAATTTCTGTGTCGTCTCTGAAGACAAAATGGCTACTCTGCACACACACCCCCCATTGATGCTTCTGAATAGCAGAGTCATTTCTGGCACCTGATTATTTCTTTTCTGTTTTTTTTTTAAAGACACCCTGCTCAGTTTTTCTCACCTTTTTATGATTCTGTACACCCGACACCTTTAACTCCACCTGGCAAAGCTAGCAGGTACCTCACAAGCTTTTTGGTAAACTCTTGTTAGTCCGCAGCTTTGCAAAGAGTTTGCAGTTCGGTGGCCTGCGTGGGTGTAAGAAATCAGTGATAAGGTGCATGTGGGAACACAGGTTTAACTGGGGGGGGGGTTCTTTCAGTCTTCAGTGCCAAATGGGGGTCTCTACTGATGATGGGTGATCCTCTGTTTGAAATGCTTTAGATCAGGGTTTTTCAAAGTACAGATAGTCCTCAATTTACGACCACAGCTGAGGCTAAATTGTAGTCCTCAACAACCATTTGTTTAGTGCAGGGGTAGGCAACCTCTGCTCTTTTAGGATTCGTGGACTTCAACTCACTTTTGAAAAGTGAGATAATAGAAGCCCAGTCCAGCACAATACCAACAAAGAGGAAAAATAACAGCTCTCAAAAGAAACCAGCATGGCTGCATAAAGAACTCTCTGATCAACTGAAAGATAAAAAGGACAAGTATAGAAAGTGGAAAGAGAGGCACATAACTAAGTCAGAATATCAGCAAATAGCTCGAGCCTGCAAAGATGAATTGAGGAAAGCCAAGGCTTAAAATGAACTAAGACTTGCGACCAAAGTCAAAAATAACAAAAAAAAAGCTTCTTTCAACATGTAAAGAACAAGAAAAAAGTGAAGGAAACGATTGGTCCATTAGTGGGTGAAAGTGGCAAGAAGGTGACAAGCAACAGGGAGAAAGCAGAACTATTTAACTCATTTTTTGCATCTGTCTTTACACAAAGGGAAAAAACAGACCAACCTATCCAAAATAGTGCCATAAAAAACAAAACAGAAACACAAGTTAAGATAGGCAAGAAAATGGTTAGGGAGCACCTGTCCAGCCTAGATGAGTTCAAATCGCCAGGACCAGAGGGATTACACCCCAGAGTTCTCAAGGAACTGGCAGATGTGATATCGGAGCCACTGAACTATATTTTTCAAAGATCCTGGAACACAGGGGAACTACCAGAGGACTGGAAAAGAGCTGATGTAGTTCCCATCCTCAAAAAAGGAAAAAAAAATGGATCCAGGAAATTACAGACCTATCAGCCTGACCTCAATACCTGGGAAGATCCTGGAAAAGATAATCAAACAACGAATCAACGAACACCTAGAGGCAAACAAAGTCATTACTAAAAGCCAACATGGGTTTGTCAAAAATAGATCATG